CTAATAGGTTTGATTTGAGTAGGCATTTATATTTTCCCCGCTAATGAATATGTATTGATGAAATTAATATATAACAAGCGATAAGAGATATTCATCCGCAAACACAATTTTTCGGTACGTGTGCATAGATATAATAAATTTATGATTTTTTTACTTATATGTATATATTTCTCACGACAAAACATCTTCATATTTTTTATTTATGTTCTTTAAAAAATATTTTCATGACTATTCATTGAAGAAATGAATTTATAACAAGCGATAAGGAATGTTATTTTGCACTCGATAATATAAGGGTATTTATACGAAATACGTTCGGTGATAGTCAAAAACGCAAGTCATGTTGGTAGAAATGTCTGCGGCAACATAACACTGGAATGCCCTCAATGTCATCCGCTGTAAGAATGAAAACAACACTTTATAAGTGTCATACTTCCGACGCGCTTTTCTGGAATTACCTTTACCAGGAACGCTCAAAGGCAAATATTTGAAAGCAATGATGGATAAGAACCGAATCAGTTGAAGATTACGGTTTGCTCAACATAGAAATAGGATAACAGGAATTGTATCTGTATACTATACAAAAAAGCATTTTGTTTTGTATAGCTGTTATTTGTTCAGTAGTTCAAAAATAATATCAGATGCTCCTTTCAAACTTTTTTATTTTTTTAGAAAGTTTTTTAATATCTTTTTATTTAATTTAAGTACATGGCAAGATGTTTTTCTGATTGTCTTGAGGAAAACTTTATTCTAATTCTGCTTCATATGAGTGCAAAAACAAGTCGCCAGTAGAAGTGCACAATAAGTAACCCATTGGAAACGACTGTCTGTTGAAATATCAACCTATACGTAACTCAACAAATATATTGACGAAACGATCAGAAAAAAGTCAAACATTTTGATGATTTCATCCTCGGTGAATTTCATCTTGGAATTTAAGTGTGGTTATTTACAAAGTCGGATTTTTATTTTCACGTCCTTAAATAAGAAAATGTATCTACGACCCCTATTTTTGTAGTAAAGCCTGTTTAATGAGACGATAAATTCGATCTTAATGCTCCTAACGTTTCTACGTATTTATACTAATATTTAACCCGAATAATCCAGTCGTTATATTCTGATCACTAAGATCATTCCATTTGAGAGCTCTGGAGGACAATGACCGTGAGAGGGCGCTGTAATTATTTAATTTAATTATACAATCTAAGACTCTCTCATCTTGCAATTGTATTAAAACATCTGACTTTTCTACACTTTACACAAGTATTCCCCATTCCAAACTAATAGACAAATTGAAAGAGTTGGTATTACTTTGTTTCATTAAAAAGAATGGCGAACGTAGATACAAGTATCTTGTCCTGCGGAGGTATAAATCCTACTTTGTAAAGAATCACTCTGATTCAAACAAAAAATTCTCTGAAACTGACATTATCAAAATGCTTGATTTCTTGATTGACAACATATTTGTTACGTTTGGAGGACGTGTTTTTCAACAGACTGTCGGAATTCCAATGGAAACAAATTGTGCCCTCTTCTTGCCGACTTGTTTCTTTATTATTATGAGGCTGACTTCATACAGGAACTTCTTAGGAAGAAAGATAAGAAGTTAGCAATATCCTTTAACTTTACGTTCCGCTATATAGATGATGTTCTCTCACTAAATAATACAAAATTTGGTGACTATGTTGAACGAATCTATCCCATCGAACTAGAGATAAAGGATACTACAGATACAGTTAAGTCTGCCTCATATCTTGACTTACATCTAGAAATTGACAATGAGGGTCGGTTGAAAACAAAACTTTACGACAAAAGAGATGATTTCAGCTTCCCAATTGTGAACTTTCCATTTCTATGTAGCAACATTCCAGCAGCGCCTGCATACGGAGTATATATCTCCCAATTGAAACGATATTCCCGGGCTTGTATTTCCTATCATGATTTCCTTGATAGAGGATTGCTGCTCACAAGGAAGCTATTAAACCAAGAGTTCCAAATGGTGAAGTTGAAATCATCCCTTCGTAAATTTTACGGACGCCATCACGAGTTGGTTGACCGTTATGGAATAACCGTTTCACAGATGATATCGGATATGTTCCTTATGTCGTAATTACAATAGCCTTCCCTTTTCACGAATGTGACCTACCGAATTAGACTATTTACCTGATTTGTAATAACATAAGCAACACGACGGGTGCCACATGTGGAACAGGATCTGCTTAGTCTTCCGGAGCACCTGAGATCACCCCCAGTTTTTGGTGGGGTTCGTGTTGCTTAGTCTTTAGTTTTCTATGTTGTGTCATCTGTACTATTATTTGTCGGTTTGTCTCTTTATTTTTGTCCATGGCGTTGTCAGTTTGTTTTCGATCTATGAGTTTGACTGTCCCTCTGGTATCTTTAGTCCCTCTTTTAAGTTACAATGATATTTAGATGTATCGGTTAGCGTTCCTGGTGACGGTAGTTCAAGAAAAGAGCTTCTGACACACAAAATTTATATAATGTTAATTTCATTCATTTGCGACATATTGTGTTAGACCTAATGGTAAACGACAATAACGATAATGAAGCCTTTCTTCTATTTGAAATGCATAAAAGTACAAAAATTGGCGAGACATGTAATGGTATTTTTTTTAAAGAGACAAGTATTATACTAAGTATGTCAAGTAATTTATCTCACTTTGACAGCTTCTTGAATGTAATCTTATTGAAGTGGATTTTTCATAATACTCGGAAATTTGAACCAGCCCTCATAACAATAAGTTAGTTTCGAGTAGTTTCTTCACGGAAACATTCTCAATTACATGTACTTGTGTTACGTACAGTTCTACTGTACTATTTAAGGTTTATTTTTATGCATATTGACCAATACAGATTAGTGTAGAAATATTTAGTTTCCTTAAATACTTCTATGAATTATCTATATAACCAAATGTGTATAGAATATAAGTTATGTGGATAAATATAACTCATTTTATCACTGGTGAATAGGTTTCAACCTGAAATTGCGATATGTAACTGAACCGATCTGAAAAGATAAATACATCAGAAAGACATATTCAGTTTCTGAGACAAGTTTCGACATGACCATTGCGAGTACTTATGTACTGTTCAGACTCTGCTCGCAGTCAATTGAGATATTTTCAGTCATTTTTTCAAACTGTTAAGTGTATGTTAAGTATTGTGCAAAACAATGAATAATGAAAAGCATGCAAAATAATTCATGGGTCTTGGATTAACCGTAAACGAAATGTCTACAAAAAAAAATTAAAAAAACTTGATTTGTCTGCAAGAAATGTCTTAAAATTAACTTGATAAAATTGAGAATGGGAATAGGGAATGTGTCAAAGAGACAACAACCCGACCAAAGAGCAGAAAACATCCCAAGGCCTCCAATGGGTCTTCAACACAGCGAGAAAATCCCGAACACGGAGGCACGTAACAGAACATAATATTGTTCTCTTCAGACATTTCAAAAGATATTACGATTATATGTAGCCTTTTCAGACTAATCAGTCTAAAACTCAATAACATGCGCTTTGCTTAACATTTTAGCACGCGTCAGTTGTTTTCAAACATACAAATAATGATTTCTACTACAGATGATATGTCTGGAAATTAATTTTGAAGGAAATTTGAAAGAATACCTGTCATACATCTTTGCATGCTTATAGTATTTTAGTTACTTAAATCTATTCGTTTTTATGACATTTTTCAACGTCTTTCTTTTACCTTTTATTTTCTGATTATTTGGCTTTTTCGGGGGGTGGGGGGTTGTAAGGTATTTTCTACAGTTTTATCGGATTCTCTAAATTTGAAAAACTATTTCAGTTAAAATACAAAAATAAATAAAAAAAGCTGTGCAAATTAATCAGAATTATAACTATTCAAGTAAGTCTTCCTGGTTAATCACATCTCTTCGTCACTACTGTTTATTTTTATTTATTTTTTTCTCATCTCATCTTGTCATGTGTGTTTATGTTTTGTTATAACTTTTGATGAACTTCTTTGTACCATTGTAACTATATAATGTTTAAGAAATAAAGAATCTTGAAATCTTGAAAGGAAAAATGTCTTCTTTTCAGTACGTATCTGCTTTAGCTTTAGGTGCAAAATAAATTGGCTCGACGTGTGGTGAATTTAAAATTTTCCCGAAAAGAGTTTTACGATGTAACGATTCGACGGATGGCCAAGGTCAGAAGAAAAAAAAAAGTTTTAAACTTCGAATCCTTATAGAGATTAATACCTGCATACATAAGCAGACACATAACCAAATTTAAATTTAATCTTCATTATTTAAAATCTGCAAAGCAGTTTAATTTTTTTCTTTTAAAATACCCGTTTAGTTTTCTACGAATTCATTTTTTCCCTTCAAAACACCGTCGAATTGTTAACTTCAGCATCCAATGTAAAGTCCAAATTGATTTAGCAAAGTTGAAATAAATGACAAATGTTTCTATATATTGTGGATGAAATAGGTATATATATATTAATAACAAAATCATGCAGAGGCACTTAAAAATTTGTTACGGATGAAATTTGATCGAATACATACAGATCTCTGCGCAATTACAGGTGTGATGTATTTTTACTTCCCTGTGATCAGAGCAATCATGTGATCACTGCAATGGAAAATTATTTTTTTCGGAAGGGGGTAGAAGAAAGCTAAAACAACAAGGATAAATTCGTTAAGTTTTATTATTGACGTACATATGTTTACAATTCATCCAGAAAATTTTTTTTATTTAGTATATTGTAAAAAAATAAATTAGTAAAAGCCCAAATACAGTTTTTTCGTTTTTCTCATTATTTATTCATTTCTTTTTTTTTCCTTTGCTTGAGTACCGTTTTCCAAAACCTTATCCCAAACCACACTGCAGCCAGGGGCACTTAACATCTATTTCATTTTAAGGGGTATCAAGTCCGTCAGTCGGGGTGTAATTCAATCTAGGTAAAATTCAGTTTTAAACTTTTAAATCTTGAACGAATCATATTATATTTACCTGACTAGTAATCCCATCTCCTCATCGCAGTTACTTCATGCATAGTATATCTATTCAGTAGCAGGTCGGTGAGACTTTAAGCCACAATTCTTTAAAATCTCTGGAAACGAATTGCATAGGAAATAATTTCCTTAAGACTTCACAAAAGAAAATAAAGGATGACATTTACTTCTCACTATTTTTAAACCAAATTCCAAGAAGGTCTTTATAAATACATTCAAAACAAGGCATTTAAAAAAAGTTTTGCAACAGGTAAAATAGTATATAGGCCAAACTGTACAGATTTTATATATCTTTCTATCAAGACAATTTTCAGTTTCATATCTATTTTTTAAATGTTTCTGTAATGGGGAACATGAGGGTTTAATTCAATATTTATTCGTTCAAATGATATTAAATTATTTGTAAATGCAAAATTTTCAACCTAATAAAAATGTTGAGTTTTTAAATGTTTTTACTGTCACTGATATATAACATTTAACTTTCTAACAGACAGGTATGTTGGTATTGTAAACATTGTAAAACAATGATACTTGAACGTTTGGGTCTTAATTAGGGGTATAAATCAGGCAAGGCATTGGATTGTTTTATAAGGTTGATTCTATTTATCAATATAGAGATATGTAAGGGAACGACCATTTAACTCCAAAAGGGGGGGGGGGGGGGGGTTATGTTTTTTCCTAAATTCTACATTTTGAAAAAATAATTTCATTGATAGCGTCGAAAAACTAAAAAATAAAAATAAAATAAAAATGTGTGCGCGAAAAACAAATCTGACTCCATACACCCCCTCCCCCAAACCCCTTGAAGTTAAATGGTTGCTCCCTATGAATTTAACATTTATGGTTTGTTCTTTAAAAATCTATAAACATTCAAAGCATCAGACTTACTAATAAATAATATGTCGTTGATATCTATAAATTAAAAGGTGTGGTCGACTGGGATCTAAACTTTACGTCAAAACATCAATCGGCAATCCTCGGGTGAATCCATTACTCCCCTTCTTGATGGAGAAACAGAATCGGTCGAGTTCAAACGAGTAGACAAAACAGATGAATTAAATTTTCCCATTTTGATCTTTTCATATTTATTTAAAGCAACATTCCAGCAGCACCTATATATCTTGAGATATATCTCTGATATCTCCATGTTGATACAGTTTTCCAGGGCTGGAGTTTCCTCCCAAGATGTCCTTGATTGAGGGTTGTCGCTTACAAGGAAGCTTTTAAATCCAGATTACTTACATACATGTAATGATAAAACTGTAAATACCAAAATTTATGATAAAAGAGATGATTTTTCATTTCCTATTGTTAATTATCCATTTTTAGATGGTGACGTTCCTTTGTCACCATCTTATGGTGTTTATATGTCTCAACTTGTTCGATTCGCTCGTGTATGTAACAACGTATTTGATTTCAACGAAAGAAATCTCTGTATTACTGAAAAATTATTACACCAGGGTTTTCGATATCATGAACTAGTCAAAACATTTACTAAAGTTTATCATCGGTAAAAGGACATCATTTGTAAATATAAATCAACATGCACACATCTTATACGTTCGGGTATTTCACATCCAATATTTTATGGTAATATTCTTTACAAAGCACAAAAATGTCGGCATTCACCTCAAAAGCTAACCAAACCTTTAAACAGACTTATTCGGAAAGGATATAGTTACGATACCGTTGTCAAGTCATTAAGGATTGCATATTTTGGTATTAATTTTGATTCACTCATTGGATCTTTGAATCGGAAATAAACACATTTATTCTAAAACCAGTTATTGGCATGATACGGGTTATGTTCTTCTCATATATTTTATGATGGTATGATACTAAACCCCTTACGGGAGGGATTGTACTTGATTTTCATATGATGAAGACATAATCTTTCAATCAGTTTAATTGAGGTCTGGAGCTGGCATGTCAGTAACTGTACAAGTATTCCTTTGTTAGTTTATGTATCATTGTCATTTTGTTTAGTTTCTTTTGTTACCTTTTCTGACATCGGACTCGGACTTCTTTTAAACTGTGTTTTACTGTGCGTATTGCTGTGTGTTTGTTTTTTCTACATTGGCTAAAGGTATAGGGGGAGGGTTGAGATCTCACAAAACATGTTTAACCCCGCCGCATTTTTGCGCCTGTCCCAAGTCAGGAGCATCTGGCCTTTGTTTGTCTTGTATGTTTTTTTTAATTTTAGTTCATTTATATGTTTTGGAGTTTAGTGTGACGTCTATTTTCACTGAACAAGTACACAATTTTATTTAGGGGCCAGCTGAGGACCACCTCCGGGTGCGGGATTTTCTCGCTGCGTTGAAGACCCATTGGTGGCCTTCGGCTGTTGTCTGCTCTTTGGTCGGATTGTTGTCTCTTTGACATATTCCCCATTTCCATTCTCAATTTTATCATATAGCTGAAAGTTTTATGGAAGCCGTCATCATTTGGTTGACCATTTTGGAATTTCTGTGTGTCACAGATGACTACGAATATATTCCATTGGTCGTGTCACGATCCCGTCCTTCTTTTCGCAATTTTTTACAACATCGAATACGTCTTGTTACCGAATATTTGAGTGTCATGCGCAACATGACGGAAGCCATTAGTGGATCAGGAAAAACTGTTTCTTCAAGAAAACTTGAGTTCACGTCTGGGTTTTGGTGGTGTTGATGTTGCTCAGTCTTATATTTTCTGTGTATTTTGTTTTTGTTAACTGTTGTTTGACTTTTTATCTTTTTCGGGGGGACATGGGGTTATAGTTGTATTTCGTTGAGTTGCAGTGTTTGATCTACTCATTGATATCTTTCGATCGTGACGAGTCAATATACGTGTTGTCCTTTATATTTCTCATATGCATGCGTAATGCGTTCTGTAACAGTTGACTAAGGAAATAAAGGCAGAAAACATTGATTAGTTGTTTAATTTAGCTCTGAGAAATAGAAGTTTATCCGTTGTAGGGGATTCAGGAACTGGTTTTGACAAATTTATATATACAGTTAAACAAATAGTCATTCCATTTATAAATAGTTTGATATTGAAGATTTTTACATTGAATACCCGTTTACTTTCACAATTCACTCATTTACCTTGAAAATGCGTTAAATAAGACGCAAAAGTAGTTAACTGGTGTTCAAATCTAGTCAATCCATTCTAGATATATACTTGTAATCCAAGTCAACATGTCTTAACTTGAAATTATACTTGATAAATGTTATTTTTTCTCTAGGCGTTTTTTTTCTCCATAAAATTATTAAAGATCATTATATAAAAACTATGATTATATTGTAAATTAGAAAGTCCAGCATACAAACAATACCCGTCTCTGAGTACAGTATTTTTGCATCGGTATTGTTTCTAAGAAATTTGAAGTTTCCCGTACAATTCGAACGTTTGAATAAACATACTGCTGTAGAAAAATGTCTAAGGTTTGTTGTAATGCAATATATAGGTAATTCTCTTATTCACGCCTACACAATAGATAATAATTATTGTATTTCTTCAACTTCTGGTGTATGAAGAACACAATTAAAGAGGCTTTTAGGGTCAATTACCAACTTTTTAAATTTAAGGTGGATCATCGGTATATATTTCCTCAGATAAAATTTTCTTATACTTTACCTAAATGAAGATTTTACTATGCTTTTTTCAAAAATATATAATAAAAAGTATGGGTCACCGTGCTATTTTTCAAGCTACAAGTCGTGCAAAATTGCACAAATTTGCATAGATTGTTCATGAAAAAACACATTTTTGTGATAAAAAAAGAAATCTATGAGACTGAATTTTGGAAATAAAATATGAGAAGATAGGTTTTATAATATGCTTTTAGAAAATAAAAAGAAAAAATGATGTCACCGAACTTGTTTTCTTGCTACAAGTAAAAAATAAATGTGGACAGATGATGCCCCCGCTTGCATATCATATAGTTATAAAGGGACATAATTATAAATTTATAACATTTGGTTGAGACAAACCAAAGTTAGAGAACGGAAACGAAAATTCAGCAACTTTTATGTTTATAAAGGGACATAACTCAAAAATGGTAAAAGTGTAACCACTAAATTTCGCATATTCTGTATTATGTAGTGATAAGCATTGTGTATAAGTTTCATAACATTTTGTTGAGGCATACTCAAGTTAGAAAACGGAAACAAAAAATTTGTACTTGATCTTAGTTTTGTGGTAATGAATATTGTGTATAGGTTTCATAATGTTTGGTTGGGGCAAACTTAAGTTACAGAATGGAAACTAAAAATTTGGCAATCTTTCGATTTATAAGGGGCATAACTCAATAATGGTTAAAGTGACACTACCCTAATTCAACTTGATCTGTGTTTTATCAGTGGAAGTCAAAATTAAACATTGCATTGTATAAAGCATTGATTGTAGTTAATTCAACTATAATCATGGACAAAGGAAGATAACTCTATTTTTTGTAAAAACTACTTGATATTTAGAAGAAAATAAAAATTTTGCAATTTTTCCATTTATAAAGGGGCATAACTCTAGAACGGTTAAAGTTACGCCACCAAAATTCAAACTTGATCTGTGTTTTGTGGTAATTAGCATTGTGTATAAGTTTCATAACATTTGGTTGAGGCAAACTTAAGTTAGAGAACGGAAACTAAATATTTTGCAATTTTTCCATTTATAAAGGGGTTTACCTCTGGAACGGTTAAAGTGACGCCACCAAAATTTAAACTTGATCTGTGTTTTGTTGTAATAAGCATTTTGTATAAGTTTCATAACATTTGGTTGAGGCAAACTCAAGTTAGAGAACGGAAACCAATTTCGGGACGTACGTACGTACGTACAGACGGACAAGGGTAAAACTTAATTCCCCCACCGCTACGGCGGGGGCATAATTTAAATTTCACTATCATTACAGTATAAAACTTTTACTTTAAGAGTTATCTCCCCTTAAATGGCTAAGTTCAAAAACTGATTCTTAAAACACAAATATTTGGTGTTTGTTTAATCATTTTGGATAATTCAATAAATCGCTTATTTTTCTTTATATAATTAAATAGTCTTACACATAAACTGCAAATCTGTCTCAAAATTTGCAGATTTAGGCAAAGAACTAGACCAATTATGTACTGCTATTGTACAATCCAAGATGGCGGTATACAGGGAATCTACCTTAAATATAGATAATCAATTTTAGTGCACATAATACTTTTCTGATTCTTTTTTTATCTGATTAAACCTACTATACTTACACTTGATTCAAATTATGTAGACATCATAGCTGATTACTTAAATCTGATTTGCTTTAAGGACTTGTTGAGAAGATTCTGCATGTGTTAATATCAACAGATGGACAGGGGTAGCTAGGTAATTTAATATGAAATTTGGGTACTGCTTGCATATTTTGGACAGGAAACTATATTGGAATTATATATTAGAATAAGATATTTCTTCATGTCCCAAACTTACAAAGTGGTTTGGCAATCATATAACCAACTGTAGATATAAGGTCAACTTAAGCAAATTAGAAAATTATCTCATCACTAGCTTAATGTGAATCAATCACACAAGAAAATGAATTTAGATAACCCCTTTAAGATAGAAATTAACACTTAAGAATAATTTTATAGACCAGATTTTGTTTACATATTACTCATAGTAACTAAAATGACCATGTGGCTCATGTTTAATTGTCCTGAATATGCATGAAATATGCGTCAATGGTCGTTATGCATAAAATAGTCAATCAATCAACGAAACAATCCCATGTTGGACTGCATGTCCACTTTTTAATGCTGCTGCACATAAAAAAGTATCAACAAAAATACGGAACTCCAAGGTAAATTCAAAAGAGGAAACTGACAAAATCAAATATTAGACTTTATCAACCAATGGAACCAATGGAAAATAACTGTCATATTCATAAAATTGGAATACTTAAAAATTAATACAGTTCACTGGTTACTGGTACAGTGTAGCAGAGAAACTGACCTATTCATTGAAACTTAACATTGATCAATGGACCATTAAGGTCAAGTTCAAGTGAACCTTTTTTTAGACGGACATGTACACCTTACAATGATTCTAAAGATCTGTGATATATATAACAAAGTCGAGTAACTGAAAAGATCACTTAAATATGAAAGTGTTATGGTTTTATTCAGTCATATTACGTTTTACTTCTTCTTGGTTTGTTTTAAATGCTATTCATTTGGTAGATATACAATTATCTTGTTTGTTTTGTTTGCCCTATCTATTAATTCGTTATTATCGGATTCCAGTTCTCCAAATATTCATAAATGGAGATTATTTAATCTCTAGACACCACATAATAAGATAACATCATATAATTAAGGAAGAAATTTTATTATTAACAAAAATAAAAATAAATAATCTAGATATAATCAGAAGACAAATCATAAACAAATATTTCCAAGAATTTAACTACCAAGTACAACTTTATCTTAAAATGGTATGATCTTGAACTTAAGTCTCAAATAACTGACAAAAACATGTCATATCTGATGAATCAACTGGATAGTGACTGTCTATTCAGATAACTTACAGGCACAACCAATGGGGAAATTGTGGGATTATCTAGAACTAAACCTCTTACTTTATGACTTCAGTTTTAACTATTTATTAAGTTGTCATCTAACAGACTCCTTTAAGAAAGTTGAAATTTGATTTTATATCACCTACTTTCAGTTGAATGTCAATTATTTTTTGTTCTATTTAACAAATCCTTTTATGTCATTTAGTTTCTGATCTTAATACGTTTATTGTTAAAAGCAAAATGATACAAATTTTGTCAATTAACCTTTTGATTTTTTTATCTAAAAAATAGACATTACACCAATTTAGACCTCTATTTGAAATACTATCTGCAATAATTGTTACCTGAATGGCAAATATAATATCACCTTTGAGTCTGTTCTGTCTGTTCCAAAAATTGTGTTAAATTACAACAATATATGTGCTTAGAATTACAGTGTTAAAATTGCAAACTGAAATATATAATATTATCTTCACAAGGAATAAAAGTGTCTTCAGATAGACAAAGCTGAAATATTAAAATAGTAATAGTACCTTTAATGCTGCAAAATATAAATTCTATTAGCCAAAATATATTTTGATATATTGGTTGATTGATTTGTGTTTAATGTTACTTTCAGCACTATTGGCTATTTCGTGGTGGTCAGTTTTAATTGGTGGAGGAAGCCAGAGAACCTGGAGAGAATCATGACCTCCGGCAGCAAAACTGACAATCCATCAATTAAGATTGGAGTCAAACACACCTGCCATGTGCTGGGTTTGAACTCACAACCTCTGTGTTGACAGGTTAAGATTGGAGTCAAACACACCTGCCATGTGCTGGGTTTGAACTCACAACCTCTGTGTTGACAGGTTAAGATTGGAGTCAAACACACCTGCCATGTGCTGGGTTTGAACTCACAACCTCTGTGTTGACAAGATATGGATACAGCATAAGAACTACTTAGAACCACTTCGTCAATGAGGCCCAAAATATTTCTGATATAGAAAATTTTCTTATTACTATTTCGCACACAGAATATGACAAAATGAAAAAAAGTTGGCTTTTACGAAGAAATATATGATCAACTGTCCTGTAATATCAATTTTATATCATTCATAACTAAATCAATCTTTATTCATATCAACCAAATATACACATAATAAAATAAACAAGAGTATTTTTTATGATAAATCTGATTATGAACTACAAAAATTTTTAAAACAAAATTCTCACTTTGATATTGAAAACCTACTTCATAAGAATTTAGAAGAAGACAAAAAGTTTACATATGTTAAATTGCTTACTAGAAAATTTGATAACTGTACAAATGATTCTTCTAAAATGCTAACATATCGAACTATAACAAAACAACTATAACGACTATTATGCAACAGATGTAAAAAAAAACTTGCTTTAATTCTTAAACAGCAGATATTATTGGTGCATTTTTTTGTGGTTTTATTAAGGTTAATAATAGGTTTCATATATAAAATGTTGGTATTTGAGAGAGTGGGGTTTGATTGGGATTCTTTGGTTTTTATAAAATATATTTATATCATTAATATAATAATTATTCTACCCCTGAAATTCTTCCTTGTACAATATTTACTGTATCCATCTCTATATGCAGTACTTATTCACCAAAATGAATCAAATTTCTAACACCAAGAATGTACTTGATCTCAAAGAAAGGGTTATTTCACCTTTTATAGTGGAATAACAACATCATGCATATTTAATATCAATAGCAACTAATCCATTTCTGTAAAATATTAGGAAAAATATACAAAAAAAGAGACAGTTTAACATAAAATTTCATGACTAGAAATTCAATAGATAGTTCATCAGATGTCTCCAGAATTGACTGTAAAATTAAAAACAGAGGCTCATGGGATGCACAACTGTTCATATGGAATTTATGTAGAAACATATTCATAAGCATTCACACAGTAGTTCTTTGAAAGGGACCTTATTTTATAGCACTGACCAAATCACTGACTGGTTTCAAATCAAAATTTGAAGAATAAAAATGGTGTGTATTTGTTGAAAACCAAAACACAGAACTAATTTATAAGGTAGTTTTTTAAATTAAACCAGCCACTTGCTGTAACACAGGTAAATACACGACGGTTTATGTTGTAAATGTGAATGCAGATAACAAACTTGAAGTCCAGTAAGACATACAGGATATCATGATAGCCAATGAATTATTTGTAATGACAAACAAATACTACACAGCCAACTCTTGTTTGGTAACAAATCTGAATAAGTTGACTCTACATGTATTAACAGCTATATATAAAGGCAACAGTAGTATACCACTGTTCAATATTCTATATTCAAATAACAAATAAAAAAATAATTGGGGAAAAAAAGAATAGACTTCATTCCTCAATAAAAAAACAAACAACATTTTATGGTGGATTAAAAAAAATACTAAGTGTAAAAACACTAGGCCAAATCAAGTTAATATCAAGACTTTCATACACCTGTCTTTACAAAAAAATTGCTCGATTGTAGAATTTCATCTTTGATTTATCAAGAACTGATGGAAAGGCTCAACTTATATTAAATAATGGTAGATTCAATTTTGATTTCGTCGAAGGATAATTCTTTACTTAACAGCTTATAGCTAAAAATTGAAACTTAATCCAATTGACTTCATTCCTTCTTAAGTTCTATCATAACCTCAGATGACAGAGAATATGAAAATAACATTTTGATGTTAATGAGATGGAAATAACTATGCAAGCCTTTCCAAATATTTAGTAGTGGACATTGACATAAACAAACTGAAATTTTTTTTTTCCAACAAAAAAATCCTAAATAATAAAATTTAGGCAGTCCTTTGGAGAATGGCAGATGACTAGATAGAAGTTAACTTTATGAACCTTATTCATTATTTTATAATGTGCATATGTGCCTTATTCTTGATATTTTTAAATGTGCATATGCAATTTATTCTTAATCTATAATAAGCAAATTTGCCTTATACAATATTTTTAATGTGCATTTTTATTTTAAAATCTAACGATCAAATGGCAAACAAAAAATGATAAAAAACAATTCATTTAAGTATTCCCTGAGTTTATACTAAAATAAGTTTTCTAATTCTTTGATGTATTTCAACAGGGTAGGAACTTATGAAGGAACAAGTATATGTCCATAAGACAACATGCCCTACTTGCACTATCACATTTCTATGTTCAGTGAACTGTGGAATCTGGGTCAAAACCCTACTTTGGCATACACTTTAAAATGTCTGCTTCATGATGAACATATGTACCAACTTTCAAGTTGATTTGATGGTCAAACTAACTTAAATTAGGACTGACCAAAAGACAAACAGACATACAGACCAGAAACATAATGTCCTCTACTATTGTAGGTGTAAAAATGATTGTGCATCCCTGTAGAATAACAACAATTGTTGGTTTGCATTTAATGGACTGTTAACTGCAACAGTAGAAATACATGACAGGAATCAAGATTTATCCCTTAATGCAGTGGTGTATGGTAAATTAAAGTATCTCTGCTATGTAATTCTTTTTTAAGAGTGAATGATCAGCAAAAACAGCCCAAAATCTTGTGTACAGGGAGTACATCTACAAAGTAAAAGTTAAAATAACGATGCACTGAAAAAATTAAAATATGTTGCTTACCCTTTTGACTGAAATAGGGGTTACTGAAAAAAAAATGTTGACTTGGAAAAATTTATAAAACAACTATAAATACTAGAACAACAGTAATAATAAATATAAAAAGAAAATACAAAAAAAATGCTTAAACTTAAAAATAAAAAACACAATTAGAAGTAACAATAAAGTGAGCAGAGCAATAATATTATGTCATGATGTTTATCACAGAAATTTGAACACAGTGTTGAATTCAAAAATAAATTAAAGCTATAAAACAATTATAGATTGGTTGATTCTATCGATTCTGTATGTTCTAATGACGATGAAGGTATATCATCAGTTGGTGATTCTAATACTTGACTAGAATTGTTACTGCTACTATCACTACTCTGCATGGAGTTCATCTGTAGACGTATAGCATGGATTCGAAAATGTAGTCGTGATTCCAACAAATATCCTTTGTAGTTTTTTCTGAAAGTCAATAAAAAATGAGTAATCTTACAAACTTATTTTTTGTTATTGTCTTGTGCTTTCAGATTGCTGTTTTAATGACATATATGATGTTCCTATTTATACTTTCCTTTGTGTCATATTATGTAAATCAGGCTTCAAAATATATGCTTATTTTGAAAGATTGAAATTCAGCATAATTCAGAAAAATTGACAGAATATAAATCATAATTTTCACCTTTTGATTATTTTCATGACAATTTTTGCTAATGGGAGAGCCAAAATGTTCTTGCCAAACACAGAGAATGAAGTAACTATGTCTTCTGTGATTAAAATACACTTTAATACACATAAGCAAAAAAATAGATATGATTTTTGTTAACATCTGTACTGGGAGTTATATAATTTTCAAGCATACATATAGTAAACAAGAAGCTGTCTCAAAGATGTATTTTCATCATGTCTTTTAAAAGAAAATGTTGACACAGAAATATTTCCTGCCTGTATGTAATTTTGATAGTAAAATGTAAAAGTTGAAATTAAAACGGCAATACTTTTTAATATGTTAACAATGCAATACATTCAAGTCAATGATTCATGTCTGAAGGTGCAGGGCCAAATAATCTTTCTGAAAATGAGATATGCTAATGCTGATATAACTACATACCAAATATCATTGACTTAGTATAGGTGGTGACCTTTAAACTGAACTAATTACAAACATGTAAATAATGCAAAAGTTTCAAAGTTAATAGACCAAGACTGAGGGGACAGAGCTCAATAATCTTCATTGATATGAGATGTACTAATACTGACACAACTGCATACCAAATATCATTGATTTCCTCTTCAACTGATTTAAACTTCACAAAAAATCCTACTAAAGGTTGCACTTTGTAAATACAGCTGTTTCACAAACCACACCTATTTTGGGGAGATATATAATATTCATATATATTTTGTTTTGTTTACGTACTGGTTCCCAGATATGAACTCTATGTTTCATTTCATAGAGTCATAACTTGGGAATGTTACCAGTATAAATACACATGGATGGCTGTCGAGTAAATTCTGAGGAAGACCCAAAGTGGAGGCAGGGGTAGTACCGAATTTTTGTATAAGTTTAAACTCGTAGAAGATCCGAGCATATAAATGTTGAAAATATGCCACACAGCCCTATGTTTTGACCTTAGTAGTGCATATGAACTTTCCATTCTAGAATATAATTTCTTACGAAACTTCATTGTAAAAGTGGCACAGTTTTTGTCGTAAAAGGAATTTCTATGGGAAACTGCATTGGCTATATCTACAGAAGTGCAAACTATAGAATGATATGTAGCCAGGTCATCCCAATGTTCAACAAACATCTTTCAAAAGATCTTCTCTAAAATCTTCAATCATATTCTTTACAATTTTGCATAAATATCAAAACCTCTTTACACTACTTTTCCCCATGCTCAATTGAACAGAGCTTTTTCTACAAAAAAAGGGAAACGTAGGTACAAATTCCTTGTTTTCAGTCATGAAAAATCTTACTTAGTGAAGAACCATACTTATTACCACAACAAACACACCAAAGAAGATATCATCAAAATGCTGGACTTTTTGATCAACAAAATATTTGTTGAGTTTGTTGGATTATTTTTTCAGCAGACAAGTGGTATTCCAATGAATACTGGTTGATCACCACTACTGGCCAACTTATTTTTGTACTCGTACAATTCAGATTTCATACATAACATTTTCAAAGACAAAAAGAAAAATATCTTGTAAAGTTCTTTAATTTCAATTTCAGATATATTGATGATGTTCTGTCACCCAATAATAAACATTTCAATGAGTGCTTACATCTCATACATCCCAGTGAACTTGAAATTAGGGAATTACTACAGAAAGTAGGACTTTTTCATATATATTTTTTTCCTCGATATTGAATCAGGTGGTGGATGACTTGAAACTAGAATCTATTACAAATGTGATGATTTCAACTTTTCAATTTTAAATTTCCCATTTCCCAGCAGTAACATACCCTCTGCTCCATCCCATGGCCTTTACATATTTCAGTTAATACATTATGCTCGTGCATATTCACACTAATCAGACTACATTAACAGGAGTGTACTTCTTACATATAAATTGCTCAAACACAGTTATGAGTAAGAAAGACTAAAATCAACACTACATATATAAGTTTTATGGTCACCATCACAAATTGGTTTCAGTAAATTTATAAGCTGCACAAATTAACTTATGCAGATACATTTAACTTATAAATGAAAATGAAAACATACTTGGCTCTGTCCAGGAACTTTTTAACATCATCTAGCCTTTCCTCTAACAGAAACAACATGGCTAGTTCTACTGTGGCATATGGTATTAGGAATGTATCTTGTTTTATCTGTTTTTCACTGCAAAATAGTAAAATACAAAAAATGTCACAAACTGTAACATTTACTTCACCTAATATAATATAGTGACTGGTACATAACATGTGTGTAAGCTAGCAATTACTACAGTTTCCACTGCACCATTCCTGATCCACTCCTTGAAAAATACACCATTCAATATTCCCAATTTGCATTTGAATGGATAGGTTTTGATTGACAAAATTTGATTAAGAGTTATTTCCCTTTGTCACCATGTTGGAGGTCTAAGTGCAAAAATTCCTTCATAAATCAGCAGAATTCAACTTGTTATACTGATGGCTTGGAAACAGTTGTTTTCTGAACAATTTTAATTTCTTTCAGCCTGGCATGATTCACAACTACAATCTAGTTATGATCTTTCATCAGACTAGTTTGTACATGCATAGTCAAATAGGAAAATCAACCATTTACTCCTCCAAAATGGTGGCAAAGGGAAATAACTCAAACTCTAGTTACGTCGTATCGAAACCAATCTATTATACACCATGCATGTTAGGTTTGAACAAATAAGTAAGAAATAACCTAGTTCAATTTGACAACAAGGATAAGAATGTTAACTTTTTCACAAATTATTTCTTAGAAAAGAAAAATTTGAATCAATACTAAATCATATCCAAGCCAGTGGTTATCTTTGTTGATAACTTAAGTTTTTTTATTGTCCCTTAAAGAATTAGGTTTTTAATGCAGATCTTTGGTAGTCTCTGTTGAATTTATTTACAATTTTGTAGACTCCATACGGTTAAGATACTAGGCTAAAAACCACATACTTCTCTCTAAATGTATTTTCTTTTTTTTTTTGTGTGTTTAAAACATCTTTGCTAGCCAGAAAAATCGATCCGGTCCCCCTGATCTTCACCCTTGGCAGATTAAGACAGAAAATTGTGTATACAGCATTGTGTCATGTACCAATAAATAAAAGTCATGTCCACTCTGACTATATCATTCTTGACCAATGACAGCACTTGTACTATAATTAGTTCTGATGTGTAAAAATTGAAGTGTCCAGTGTTTACAAATTTCGTGAAGCAGAAACTGCATATATAAGTAGACATTCCAACATTTGCACAAGGAACATACCCAAAAACTTCAATAAGTTGATTAAGAACTTTAACAGTGTCACTTAATATCATCCTAGGAGTAAGAACTCCTGCAATAAAGGCAAGCACCTTATCACAATACAATAAGATTTTAGAAAATTGTCAAGAAGAGATATTAACTCACTATGTAAGAATTTCTGTAAAACACTGTTCTGCTTGGAAATGACTTCCCTTGTGTTTCAAACATACTCCCTTCAACAATAAGGCTAAACAGTAATCATCAGCATAATATAATCTGTCATCTGTAAAAAAAAAAAGCAGCAAATTAAATTATAAAGTAATCATGGTTTTACAACTTTCTTAGTAATCATTTCTATATATATAATTGTAACATTTAGCTTTTTATCATGAAGCTACTTAAAATATTCTAAGCTGTTGAAATCTAATTGCTCATGTGAAACAGCTTGATTCAGTAAACTTTTCCCAAATTGCTCTTGAAACAATCTTTAGGAAAAATTTACCAATGGTAGAAATATTGGTTAAGAATATTTGCTTATCATGTTTTCAACTTTTAGTCAGATATTCAGTATTCACTGTTTCTATATATATTCATGTGGTGCCATTGAAAAATTTTGCCCGCTAACCCCTTATTTTCTTTTCATAATATTACATATAGTTTAAAAAGCAATTTTTGAAAATCTTATGATATCCTTGTTAATTTTTCATAATTTTTGAAAGAAAAAAGGTACCAATGTTAAGTGTATGGAAAATCTAGAGAGAATCATTTCCCGCCAAATTTTTAATGGCTTATATCTCAGAAACAGGGACACAGACCTTTTTGCATTTTTTTCTGCTTTTTTAGTTCTGTTATTTATGTACTATCAATTTATAACAGACTTTTAAAAAGCTTGTTATTTTGAAATAGAGTAGCGAACATCTTCAACACATAAAATGGTTTTGAATGCTCAGAGACATCTTTGAGAGAACTGTTCATTGCTTTTGAAATATGTTTTCTGTCGAATTGTTGCCTATTTGAATGAATGAATGAACGAATCTTTATTGCATAAGCTTATAAACATGCTATGGCAAAATTAACAACATATATTACATAATATAAAACATGGAAAGACAGCAGAGAACAATAATAATAATAATAATAATAATAAATTCTTTATTTAAAGAGGGTAAACTCAGTTAGTTATAATAAACTAATCTTCCCTGAGGCCCTCACATACAAATTATAATACAATCAAAAATAGATATTTACACATAGTTAATTTACAGTCAATTAGTTCAATGTAATATTACTAACATGATAAGATATAAGGCTGTTCAAGATGCACATGTAGTCAAAAAAATCAAATAAAAATAAAAATAAAAGAATATACAAATCCATTGTAGAAAACATAATCTTATCAGGACTGTGTTAAGTACTTCTTGATACTTTGTTTAAAAGTATAAGTGTTTTGAGCTTTACGCATTTTGTGTGGTAGTCCATTCCATAACACTGATCCAGAATAAACAAAAGATTTCTTAAATAGCTCAGCTTTTGGCTTAGGAACTATCATATTACCTTGAGTGACACCTCTCAAGGAGTGAGGATTATTATCTGATTTCAGTTTAAACTTTTGAACTAGGTACATTGGAGCTTCCATACGCATACATTTATATAGAAGTAAATATTTGTGGTATTTGATTCTATTGTCAACTGTCATCCACCCAAGTTCTTTAAATAAGGGGGCTGAGGGGGATAAAGGATCTGCATCTAGAATTAATCTTGCTGCCCTTTTTTGGAGTTTTAAAATTCTTGTTATCCCTTCATTTTTACATTCACCCCAAATAATACAGCAGTAGTCAATCAGGGGCAGAATATACCCATTGTAATATGTATTCCTTGCATTTATATCTAAAAATTTCTTTATTTTAGAAAGAAGGTATATTCTGGATGATATATTAGCACAAACTTGGTCAATTTGATTTCTCCAGCTAAGTGTGCTGTCAATTTTAACACCTAATAATTTTTCACATGAAGAATTTTGTAATACTTTTGAATTTATTATCAAGTTTGGTTGATAAGTCTGAATTGATAGTTTCTGCTTTGTTCCAGTAACCAAACATTTTGTTTGGTTACTGGAACAATAGTATAATATTATGACATGAAAAATTATGAAACCAAATGAGATCGAATATTGCATGCAGTTTTTACATAATTACATAATTTGATAGTAAGAAACTTACTAGACGCTTGTAGTACATGTAGATACAACAGTTTGTGATTATAAGGCCAAGAACAATAATACTTTGGTAAAAATTGTATTCGTACAGATCTATAAGCTGGACAAACAAGAACAAAATGGTATTCATCTTCAATAACACACATTTTACAGCATTCACATAAACAATTTTCTCTCGGAATATTATCATAACGACCAACTTCAATACTTTGACACATTCCCTATTTCCATTTTCTATATTCTATTGAATCAATTTGATTCCAAACACCATTGATTTTTTCACAAAAAATAAAAATATTATGCAATGGGCAACAGAATGAAGACGCACATTACATTCAACAACTGCAGCAAAGGTTCAAAATCCCTAACTGTGATACCTAAATTTACCTGAAAAATAAATTCATCGAATATACCAAGCTTAATGTTTTTTATGCTAGATGTGCGTTTTGTATACATAAAAGACTTATCAGTGAAGCTCAAATATAAAATGTTAAAAGTACATAAGTACGGGGTTAAAGAGCAGTGAGGACCAAAAAATCCAAAAAGGATTTGCCAAATACAGCTAAGGTAATCTATTCCGGGGGTTGACAATCCTTAGTATTTCGAACAATTCAAAGTTTTGTAAACAGATAATTTATCAATATTACCATATCATTTATCATTATCAATTCTTGTCAACACAGAAGAGCAAACTACTGGCCTGGTGATACTCTTGGGGAGGAAAGCTCCACCAGCAGTAACATCAAAACTATTATTTCTTGAGCAGAAGTTATCACAAGGTAGAATCTGTCTATAACCAAGGTAGCCTTGTTATCTTGTAAAACCATGTTGATAATAGCCTGGTAATCTTGTAAAATCAAAATTGATTGTAACAGCAAAAATTTTTTTTAAAATGTTGCATGTATGAAGAAAACACACAGTTTAAGTAACACAATAATGAGAAAGGGTTGAATATTTGAAAATAAAATGGGAAGGAATTGTGAAAAGTTGTGAATCAATAATTTACCCTAGGTTCTTACATAAGTACCAACCAAACCTAATTTTTTTTGTAAAATCACCTGTACTTAAAAATAGGATGTTGACGATGATATATAAATATATGCAACATTAAATGTCTTACAAACACACTATATCAATATTAAAATCACATGGGATATATAATTAAACTATAGTAAACATGGTTTATTGATAATATTTGTAAAGCTATGGACTATCAAAAATTTTAACAGGCTTTATAATGTCAGTCTAACATGCAAATTTATCATAGTTTAAGAGAAAAAAATTACTTAACAATAGTTTATTGATCTATTTATCAATACATTGTTTCCTTTTAAGTACTATTAAGTGAAATTAAAGGACTTTCCATTAACCTGATAACAGGTTTTTTAAAATTGTTTAAAAGTGATCAGATACTATTTAAGAATACACATACTAATATGTCAACTACAAAAAACACAACACTGTCCATCAACACATTTTTGTAAGTTCATTCAGACTGTTTTTGTTATAGGAGTTTGAGGGGGGAGGGTTGTAATTGATTTTATAGACTTTCATAAATCCTAATTTTTAATGTTTGCATCTTTCCAAGAACGAATAGGTTTGACACCATAATAAAGTGGGTCAAACTTCCTTACAATAAAGTATGACATATCCTTATTTGGTTCAAGGTATACAAAATTCACGTGTTTCACAATTATGGTTGTGGACTGTATATCATATGTGAATATAACTAATTTACAAATCTTCAATGAAAAAAAAAACCTTATTTTTGCATCTTTAAAGGTGACTTAGATCTCCAAAACAGACATTTGAGGAAAACTCAACAAATTTTATCAATATAAAAATAAGATGTGGTAAGATTGCCAATGAGAGAACTCTCCACCAGAGACCAAATGATGTAGAAGTTAGCAACTAAACATATAGGTCACAAAACGGCTGTAAACCTTTACCAGAATTAACAATGAGTAAGTCTGTTGACAGCTAAAATCTGTTACACTGGTAATATATTTGCTGAACCCATGACTCTTCCCAATATTCTAAAAGCTACTTGCATACCAATGAACTTGCTCATAAAGAATTATCATGAAAATCACATATATTAATGTTTTTCAGTCTTTCTCGTATAAGTTTTGGGCTTCTTCATGATGTCACAAAACAAAGCCAGTAATTAACAATTTTGTTCAAATTTATGCTTTTTAAAATTTAGTTAACATAGAATTTATATCCTACAACATAGTTGAAAAATGATTGATTGATTGATTGATTTTTGGTGTTTTAACGCCACTTTTAAGCACCACTTTTGGGCTATTTCGTGGCGTCCAGTTTTAATTGGTGGAGGAAGCCGGAGTGCCCGGAGAAAACCACTGACCTTCAATAGCAAAACTGACAATCCTAGTCCATTAAGATTGGATTCGAGTGCACCTGCACGAGCGGGGTTCGAACTCACAACCTCAGTGTTGACTGGCTAGTGATTACAGTAGTAACTACTTAGACCACTCGGCCACCGAGGCCCCTAGTTGAAAAATGGAGGCCAATACAATTTCTCATCATCATATGCTATAGATTAATATGTCTAAGATGGTAACATAATAAAATGTAAAGGACAAGGTTCACTTTTGGCCAAATATTGCCTTGAATTTCAGCTTTATCATAAAACATCAAAAAGGCCATAATTTGTTTCTTTAATTGATCTATTTCAAAAAGCTTTATTGCTGATAAAACAAATTTCCCCATTAGAGCACATTATGGGCTCCAAATTCAGCACATTTTGAATATATTGTCAAAATACGATGATTTTTTGCATTTTTCGGATATAAAAGCTTTAAGAAAATCTTGTCCGCAACCAACGATCTGAAATGTTCTTTAACCAAAAGGTACCAATCATTATAATGAATCCCTGGACATTAACATTTTCATGATCAGGAGTTTTGGTCGAAGTAAATTATTATAAAAAAAGTTATAAATTTTGGTGAAATATGACCAAAATTGGCAGTACAACACACATTATGCAGTATTAAGGGGTAATCACTTCGTTATCTATAATGTGATGTGCCAAAAATAAGTTATTTTGCATCAATAGTAATATCACAACTATTTCTATATGAAATTTGTAGTATTTTGACCTGATTTAAAAAACTTTAAAATCTGAGGGACAATTTTAACCCTTCGTGAACATACTCATTTCATCACCTGTATTGAGTTCAAAAAAAAGTTGCTACAGGTTCAAAGAATATTTAAAACTGAGAATACTTTTGAACTTTATCTTTAGGACAAAAAATTTTTAAATATTTTAGCTCCTTCAAATGACAAAACCCGGTAGATCAAAACATTTCCTTGATGCTCATCATATATAAATATCAAGTGTCATTGGATAATCATCTACATAAGCCCTACCTATTTCATAAATTATCTCATTACAAATATCATAAAAATCATTAATCAGATAAAAGTCCATTAGCTCTCATACATCTATAGTGTTGCAGGAATAGAGATTTATATAATAATGCATTCAAATTTCTAACAGAAAGTTATTCAGAATATATAGCTTAAAATCTACTTAAGCATTATAAAGGATTATCTTAAGGAATATTTTTTCAACGCATTGAAAGTTTCAAAACCAGATATAATAGAAAAAAATGGAAAATAATTTCACAGTTCCTGAGGACATACGTCTGATACATAATATATTAGGCACCAGTTTTTCAATTTTGGGATTTTTTGCCAATATTGTGACATTAATCGCTATTTTTCGGTTTCGACTGTACAAAGACATTTATATCATTTTCATTATCAATCTCGCTTTCATCAACTGTTTGTCAAGTGGATTTTCTTTAACTTATATTGCATATCAATCATTCACTGTTGATTCAGCCATGCTGCATACAACTATAGTGTGTAGATTTACTGGTTATATTACCTATGCGTTACTTGGAACAGAAATCATTGCTATCATACAGATATCTTTTAATCGGTACTTTCTCATAGTACACTTGGACCTATACAGGAAAATTTATACTTCAAACCAAAAAGTCATTGGGATGTTAGCTGGCTCCTGGTTTATTTACTTCATCTTGACATTACTTCCATGCACTGAAGTTTGGGGAAAATTACTCTACGATCCTACAAGGTTCATCTGTCATCCATTTTTGGCGCAAGACAGTTTCACAAAATTTTTCAATTTTTTTTCAATCAGTATCTCGGTACCTCCTTTAGTGTACTGCTATATTGCTATTATATGGAAAGTTGTTTCAACAAGGAGGAAAGTAAGACCAAGTAGAGTGTCTACGGTAAGACCATCGAAATCTCAAGTTACGCCACCGACTAAAATGCCTGTAACAATCATAACAATTCTGACAGCGTTTACGGTCCTATATGTTCCATTTTTTCTGGTTGAACTCATGGACCCTTCTGGACAAAAATTTGATCCAAAAGTGCCTGTTCTTGCAGTTTACGTTGCTTGGATACATCTTATTTGTCATCCTATAATCTATGCCGTGTTAAACAGACAGATCCAAAAAGCTCTGATGAAAATGTTCAGATGTGAAAAACAAAATAAACAAGCTACTGTGTTTCCAAGATCACATCACACTATCAGTACTATTGCAGCATGAACTGTCACTACATGTGTATCAGTGAAACATTTGGATCTTAATATTCAAATTAACAGTTTTCAGTGTGATATTGTGTGGTGAAAAGTTTTATTTCAGTTACTAAAAGAAAGTTTGTCTTCTTTAAAGTTTACAAGGTTTTTATTGTAAACTTGTTTTAATACTAACTATCAAAATCCTTGATGTTTAAAATAAGTGAATTCTGAGTCCCCTCATTTTTAACAGATACAAGATTACTAAATCCTAAATCATGAAATTATTTCATGCCATAGTACCTAAGTAAAACCATTATTAGTTGTAACAAACATTTTACAATATAGAAAGTACAATGATTTACTGAAGAAAAATGTATTGTAAATTCAGATTCATTAGAAAATTTACATTAGAAAAGTTAATCAATAATCAAAACATGAGTAAAGAGAAGAATAGTTGATTCCAACAAAAATTTCTATTAAGTCTTTAAAATCTTAAATTATTATTCTATTGCATTCAACGAATCCTTCATAAACATTTTTCTTAAAGAAATGCGAGTTTCTTATAGAGTCTTTCATGCTTATAAAACAAACAATTGCAAATCACTGCATCTGGAACTGAAGCAAATATAATTTATCTGATCGCTATTACATAATATTCTTGAGTTTATAATTGAATTTTTTTAAATACTGCATGTGAATATATATTTTTGTTCAATCATTTTCAATATAAAATACAAAAATCTACTTTGACTTTATCTTGAATCAATGAAAGAATGTAATAGCAATGAAGAACACTGAATATGGTATACTCAGATTCAATAGAAAAGGATATCAATCAGTTGGAAGAAATATATATATTATATAGTATGCTAAAAATAAGATGTGGTAGGATTGCCAATGTGACGAAGATCCACCAAAGACCAAATGAATTGGATGCAAGCAGTTATAGGGAACCATACAGCCTTCAACAATTAGCAAACTTATACTGCATAGCTGACTTTCAAGACAGGCATGATGAAATGTGAAACAATTCAAACGAAAAAACTAACAGCCTAATTCATAACAATAAAATTTAAGAAAAACATATATGACAGACATGAATCAACAAATACCACTGAATCACAGGCTCCTGGCTTAAAGCAGGCATATAAAGAATGCTTAATCACCCAAATTTATTTATTAAGAAAACATAGGATATTTAAGATAGCAGAAGTATAACCTAGTTAGAACAAATATGGCAAGGTACAATAGCAATGAAGGCAGAAACCTTTTTTTTTTTAAAATGTGTTTCACTTCATGATGGGAGGTGCTCAATTTCAATTTATGAACAAGCATTCTGTGAAAGTTTCAAGGATTCGTTTGAAATCTATCGAGTTGATTACAGATCACAGATAATCAAAAGATTATAATGTGATTTTGTTTCTCTTACTCTTTATGCATTTAAACTGGTTCTGACTAGTTAGATATATTAGATATCAACCATTACTCTTTTTTTTTCTTGGGAGGGGGCATGTTGTTTTATAATAAATTGTTTGATTCTCGCCTGCTGGAAAAAAATAATTTTATTCAGAAGAAAGTGAAAAAAATGTGTGTTTCCATTAAAAATTAGAGGAAAAAATAATATGTTATTGAAACAAGAATGCACACACTGAAATGTCTCGCCTGCTTTACTGACCATTGATTTTATGTTGAAAGTCTTTAAGATAAAGGTTTTACTAAAAGTATCGCATAAACTTAACATTTAATAAAGATCTATAAGAATGAGGGTCAAGGTCATATAAATCCTGTCAGACCGACATATACACCTTACAATTTATTTAAACACCAAATATAGTTGACCTTTTGCTATGGTAATTGAAAAACAGACCAAAACACAAAAACTTAACATTGACTGATGAACCAAGAAATTGGGGTCAAGGTCAGATTATATATACCTGCCAGACAGACATGTTCACCTTACAGTTATTCCATACACCAAATATAGCTGACCTATTACTATTAGCAAAGGTCTGGAAATGGTCATTTTAGCCAGCCATGTCCTAAACTGAAAGCTTTTTGTCCTAAACAGCAGATTGGAATTTACAGAAAAAATTTGGTCATTTCATTGAGATCGGGTTTCTTTATCGCCATTTTGCACTTGTTTTTGTTTTGTTATCCCTTTCTTGTAATAAAACTGCCACTCCAGTATAGTATGAAAATCCTGAGGGCTATCCTAATAACCATATTACTAGTTACACCTTGGAAAATATAGGTTAATGATTGCTAATCACTTTTTACCTGACAGTGATCACAAGCTCAGAACTAATATCATAGAGAAATTGAAATTCCATGACAATTTTCTTCATTATTTAATTACTTTTCAACAAAGACAATCAACAATTCTGATTTAAAATTAAAACTTGATTTAATCAAGGATATATATTTACTATATAAATCCTTGATTTAATTTACGTAGAAAAAAGTAATTTTTCACGAGTCAAACGTGTGCTTTATTTATTATGTAATGCCCATGCGTGAAATTGTCTTCACCAGATCTGACAATTAATCATAAAATGCAAAATGGTTTCATACTAAATTAAACAAATGCAATTATTATCTGTTATATTCAAACACATTTAACGGTATTATAATAAGAAATCCCTTGATTTCCTGTCAATTTGATTAGCAGAATGAATCAAGAATTACTTGTACTTTAGTATCATCATGAAACTTCCAATTTTAAATTCGTCTTCAAAACCGAAAGATATGTTAGCAACGTCTGACAAATTTACCATTTTGAGTCATTAAAATCATTTCAATTTTAAGCTGTTGCATTCCATAAACTGTTGTTGAAAGTTTTAAGAAAAAGGTTGAGAAAATTCATGAAGTTAATGCAATGAAACAGTCAACACAAGTTTGTTGATGTTATGAATCTAGTGTGAATAATTTCATCAGTTTGGAAAAAGGGGCTCAACTTTTAAGTCATCTCAAAATGGCCGAAATTGTGTAAAAAAATTCTGGATTCTTAAGTCTATTGGTACTTGAAAAACAGACCAAAAACAAAAACTTAACATTGACCAATGAACCATGAAAATGAGGTCAAGGTCAGATGATACATGCCAGACAGACATGTAGACCTTACAATCATTCCAATTGACCTATTGTTTATAGTACTTGAAAAACAGACCAAAACACAAAAACTTAACATTGACCAATGAACCATGAAAATGAGGTCAAAGTCCGTGAAACCTGCCATACTGACATGTACTCATAACAATCATTCGATACACCACATATAATTGACCTACTGCTTATAGTATTTGAGAAACAATCCTAATCACGTAACTTTAACCTTGATCACTGATCCATGAAATTAGGTCGAGGTCAGGTGAACCCTGCCTGGCGGGACATGTAGATGTTGCAAGGAACCCATATACCAAATATAGTTATCCTATTACTCATAATAAGTGAGAAATTCACATGACAAAAAAACAATAATTTTTTTTCAAGCAGTTGCTGAACCATAAAAATGAGGTCAAGGACAATTGACATATGACAGATGGAAACTTCGTAACATTAGGTATCTGCATGATCTGTATACAAGATATGAAGCATCCAGGTCTTCTTCCTTCTGAAATATAAAGATTTATACAAATAGTTTACACTGCCTCCTCCAGATAGTAATACCTAAGTCTCACATAGTGCGACTTATGTCGAAGGCGAGACAAAAACTAGTTTGTATTTGATTAAAATCGAGGAAAAACAAAATAGTTTGTCCACAAAAAAAGAAAGAAAAAAAACATTCTCCTCTCCAACAAAATATGATTGGCTACCATATATCTAATCAAAATATTGCACTCTATATTTTGTATTGAATCATATGAGAAACAGATTATACCACTTTGCCCTGTTGAATTCAATATTTATCCTCTCTTGATAATTCATATTTTTATCATTTCAAAATACACAGAAAAATTTAAATTTTATCTTTGAGTTTCGTTTAAAAATATTTTATTATCTAAATAAACAATAGGATCGGATACAAGTTATAACAACTTAACATAATCCTCTCCAAATAATTACAATATACAAAATTTCAAGATGACAGCAATTATATAATTAAGTACAATATCAAAAATATATACAATAAATATATTATGTTTAAACAGTAACAGTTGGATACGAGTACATTTTAAGATACAGCAATATTAATCAAAGAATCGTTTTGTATATCTGTGAGTGGATAAATATCCTAATCAGTGTGTGGGTGACAAATTTATTTTACTCCCGTAGTGGTATTAACCATATGTGGATTCTTAAAAATTCTAAAGAACTTCTGGACAATTTTAAATCTCGGTCTATTTCTGAAATTAATTCTAGCATAACTTTTGATTTTTTAACCCTGTATACCAACATTCCCCATGTGAAATTATAAAATTGTTTTGAATAAACATTGAATGACAAAATTTCTTCTTATATGACGTTTACATTTTCTGACGTCAGACACGCGAAGCAATGAATGTGGTTTTTAATTTGATAGATGCTTTTGTTCTTTTTTGTAAATAATTGTTTGTTTTGATATTGTAACTCAGTGATGACTGCTGTACCCATATTTTGACTATTCTATTTATAATGTCTGTTTTGTTCACGCATCGTTGTAAATATAACGGAATTTGATAAGACTGTCGTACAAGTGAGAGGTTTAGCGCTATAAAACCAGGTTCAATCCACCATTTTCTACATTTGAAAATGCCTGTACCAAGTCAGGAATATGACAGTTGTTGTCCATTCATTTGATGTGTTTTGTCATTTGATTTTGCCATGTGATTAGGGACTTTCCGATTGAATTTTCCTCGGAGTTCAGTATTTTTGTGATTTTACTTTTTTTTGTAGTAGAAGCTATATTCAGCAAATATAATTTCATATAAGGAACTAATGGAAATACTGTTATTAAACAAAAATGTCAACTTATAATATATATAAGTACTTGTTTTCCAGGAAGATTAATATTCTGACATAACATCCTGTTTTTTTAAGTGTTCGTTCCTACTGAAACTTTTCAACCACACAGACTTCCCAATACTTATATTATGTATTTAAAAAATTATGAAATAGTTGGTTAAGTGCAGATTAAAAGAACATCTTCAAAACATTGATATATTTAAATAGCAAGAGTGCACACCCTGAAATGTCTAATCTGTTTTACTTATCATTGAATTCATGTTGAAAGTCTGTAACATGAAGGTTTTACTAGAAGTATTACATAAACTTAACATTATCAATGTCCTATGAAACTGAGGTCACGGTCAGATGAACCATGCCAGACAGACATGTACACCATACAATCATTCCATACAACAAATATAGTGGTCCTATTGCTAAAAGTACCTGAGAAACAGATCAATCCACAAAATCTAAACATTGACCAATGAACCATGTATATGAGGTCAAGGTCATATGAACAATGTCAGACAGACATGTACACCTTACAATCATTCCATACACCAAATATAGTGGTCCTATTGCTAGTGGAACCTGAGAAACAGATCAATCCACAAAATCTAAACATTGACCAATGAACCATGAAAATGAGGTCGATGTCAGATGAACCATGCCAGATGACAGACATGTACACCTGACAATAACTTACACCAAATATAGTGACACTATTGGTTTGTTACTGTAAATTCAGAAATTATTGCGATGTTTTTATTATTGCGAAAAATGCGACACGGTTATGAAATTTGTTATATGAATTAAACAGGATTTTTCTCAATATCGCAAAAATTAAAATCGCATTTTAGTCTAAAATGACAAAATCGCAATAATAAATGCACGCAATAATTTCTGAATTTACAGTATCTGAGAAATAGATAAAACCACAAAAACTAAACCATGAAAATCAGGTCGAGGTGAGATGATCCTGCCAGATGGACATGTACACCTTACAATCATTCCATACTCCAAATATATTTGACCTTTTGCTTATAGTATCTAAAATACGGTCCTGACCACCTAACTTTAACCTTGATCACTGATGAACCATGAAATAAGGTCAAGGTCAGGTGAACCCTACCTGACTGACATGTAGACATTGCAAGGAACCCATATACCAAATATAGTTACTCTTTTACTCATAATAAGTAAGTATTTCACGTAACAAAAAAAAAAGAATTTTTTCAAGCAGTCACTGAACCATGAAAATGAGGTCAAGGATAATGGACATATAACAGACAGAAACTTCACACATAAGGTATTTGCATACAAGGTATGAAGCATCCAGGTCTTCTACCTTCTGAAATATAAAGCTTTAAACAAATAGTTTACGCTGTCGCTGCTGCCAATTGTAATACCAATGTCTCCCAAACTGCGACTTCCGTTGCAGGCGAGACAAAAAGAGGATGTGGGAGAATACATTAATGAGACAGCAATCAATCAAAAACAATTATCAGAAGACATCTAGAGGTCAATACTCAGTCTTCAACAATAGATAGGTGTACATTCAAAATGTCAATCTCAAAAACTAGTGTTGACAGGCTAGCGATACAGTAGTTCAATTACTTAAACCACTTGGCCACCAAGGGTTCTTCAGCACTTCGAATCTGATATACTACTGTTGTGCGGGGTTCGAACCTCAGTGTTCACAGATGAACTACTTAGACACTCAGCAGCTGAGCTCGCAAGTAGGTACATAAATATGTGGTGATGCTAAACTAGTTTTTAAGACCTTAATCCAACTCCTTCTGAATCTTGATAAGTGACAGGCACAGGAAAGAACATACAATAAAAATAAGTAAAGGAAAAAGCACTTATTAACTACAAATATTTCCTATTTCTACATTAGAGCATAAAATAAACAGTTTTCCTTTAAAATTATTCGAACATGCAAAATTTTCAAAATTTGCAAAGTTTATTTTCATTTACTAGTACTTGGTAGAAACCACAGCTGGTGGACTGTTACTTCGTGTGATTATCATCCGCTCAATAGTCAGCACTTCAGTACTGACATGATTTATAACATCTTTTTCTAAAATTCCCCATTAATAAGTAAAGAAATTATTCCCTCAGACAAAGTTGAACTTTGATGTATTTGGCTATTATTTTTAGGTCCCTTTTGGACATACAGCTCCAGCTCCTAACTTTTCTACACATTTGAACATCTGTTGCTTTCAAATATTTGGGTTTGAGCATTCCAGATAAAAGAAAATCCAGAAGATTGCTTTTGACACACAAAATCTATAAAGCATTATTTTCATTGTATTAAAAGAAATAAACTGCTTCGCCGAGCGCAGCTGGATACGACCGCAGAGGTTTAACCCTGAACAATTGGGGCAAAAATTGACACAATATTCAAGCTTGATACAGGTTTGAATTTGGATTGTAATTAAATATTTGACACATTATAGGTTTCTGACACAGAATAAATGTAGTCAAAGAACTTGAAATTGGTTATATGATTTGAATTTATATTCAATTGAAGATTTCTTGCTTTTGTGCAATACACTGTGCTGTTGCGCAATACTTAGTAAATCTGTTTTCAGACTATATACAAAGAATTAGCAAAATAAATTGTGACCCCAAATTTTTCTTTGGAAAATTGACAATTTCTTAAATCTTGAGGAAAAAAATTGACCCTCCCCCTTTTCCAAAAAAATAATATTTGATGAATCTTGTGGAATTGCTTATACAGAAATTATTTTCCTGAAACTAGAAAAATGCTTGTTTTGGGCCCCTTTTTGGCCCCTAATTCCTAAACGGTTGTGACCATCACCCCCAAAAACAATCCCAACCTTCCTTTTGTGGTATTGAACCTTTTGCTTAAATTTTATAGAGATCCATACACTTAAACTAAAGTTATTGTCCGGAAACCAAATGTCTTCAGACGACGACGACAACGACGTGATAGCAATATACGACACCAAAATTATTTGCAAGATTATATAAAATAAAAATGAGTGACATATAAAATGGAAATTGATTGTCCTGGCATTATGTCTGTTGAAAAGTAAATCTTAATTGTGTGGCAAGAAGGTAATAAAATTTATTACTTTCAATTACACAGCTTACATGTATCTGAAAATTTGCTCAATTTGACATTACCTTAAATCACTTTCAAATTTATAATCAATTACATTTTCAATTTTCAATTTTCAATTACCTCAGGTCTGGTACATATTCATTGTATGACAGTTTGGTTATTATCTATTTCCAAATAATTACTTATAAATTTTTTAGGTAAAATCTGAGATCCAAAGTGAACTTAGGGTTAAAAAAACTACAGACACTTGAAATTGCAAAATCTAATATAGAATTTAAAGGTGGGAAGGGGCATGTATTAATTAGTTTTACTTCTATATGATCCACAAGATACAATCCTTAAAGTTTTCCCATCTCAAAATTCTCAATGCATTTTCAGAGCAACTCAAATTTGAAATAGTTGATAAGCAATAGACAAATCAGCTGGATATATACAACAACATCAACCAGTAGAAAGTCACCTTATAATTCTTAGCAGAAAACATACCTTTTGAGTTCACTATGTCATTCACTGTTTTCTCTACTTTCTCCAACACAGGATTTAGTAGTTCCTCTTTCTTCCCCAGTATTGAAAAGCCATTCCAAACATATATTAGCTCCTACAAATACAATTTAATTTGTACAGATGAAGGCTAATTTAGTCTACTAAAATATTTGACTAGGTGTCTTAAAAGTGTAGAAATAATTGCTGACCTAAAATTTAAAGGTGGCACCTGGCTTGGCACTGCATTTCAAAATAACAACAAAAACAAGTTGAACTGTGAGCTATTACTGAGAGAGTGGACAAGTGTAAGCAGAACAAGTGGACAATCCTGTTCTATGACTTGTTTTGCTTTATTTAAGTTTGTACGACTTTGCCCCCAGCAGAGCTATAGAAAAACAGTACATTAACGGGTGTTACACGGACACTTTTTAGATGATACACGGACACTTTTTAGTTGTTACACGGACACTTTTTATGAATAGAATCACTCGTGCGTGATCAGTGAGTTCATGGGCACTTTAAATTTCAATTAGATTTGAACTTTTTGTTTCACCGACATATTTCTTGTCTTTTTCATTAAAATATTTACACTGGCATCAATAACTATTTTTTTTTCAAACAATTCCAGTATATTACTATTCATATCAGTACACTAAGGGATTGACCATTTAACTTCAAAAGGGGAGTTATGTTTTTTCCTAAAAAATATTCTGATCCCCAATTTTATGAGAAAAAATATATTGTGGTCAATCAGATGACAAAATAAAGTTCTGATTCCAGATTTTCCGAATACCGTATATAATAGTGCTAATTTCGAAAAAAAAAATATTTGGGTGATAGCGTTGATAAACTAAATCATTTTCTTACTCAGAAAAAAAACATACCCCCCTTTTGAAGCTAAATGGTCGGTCCGTAAATGTTGGGTTTTTTTTTCAATATATGGAAATGAATAGTATTCTGGACAATGCTGAAAGTAAAGAAATGCTGGTACCGACGTTTATATTTCAATAAAAAAGACAGGAAATATATATAAAAAAATCAAATCTAATCAAAAGATAAAATCCATATCAACTCACCAATGCACGATTGATCCTATAAATAAAAAGTGTCCGTGTAATACATGTTCAAATAGGCAGCAAATCTTGAAGAAAATCATTCAACTTATGTCACCAATTTTGGACGGTAAGTTGCGATTGGATCATATTGTGACACGTGTTTGATCCTGACCAACACTATAAGAGACATATATAAAAACCTATAAGAATAATTTATATAAAAAAAATCCAAAATATATGCCTATATATGGGTGATTTTAACAAGACAAAATCGATTTTTTCGTACCATTTCATTCACTAATGAAATAGAAAATTCTTTTCTTTTTATATTGTTATTGAATTTATACATTTGGGAGCAAACGTACGATTTTTATTATTTTTTAAGGCGGAATGGGGGAATGGAATGACACATCCTGCATGTTTTCAACAAAAACGAATCAAGCCTGTTTATTTTGAATTTATTTTAACCCCCCCCCCCTTTTCCGTTTTCCCCCAAATAAAAATCAAATGTTAGCTTGCTTACCTCTGAAATCTTTTTCATACATTACTTACTTGCGAAGATGCATTTTCAAAAGTCTCAAATGTGTACGACATTCATCTTTTACTTGACATGGTTCTTTTTTTTTATGAAATTATTAGATTCTTAAATTTCTTTAGAAAAAACTATAGGCTGAAGGGAAATGAAAAAAAAGTTTGTTTAAACTGTCTTACTGTAACTTACATTAACTGGTATATGGCCATTTAAGTTTCGAATATGTTAAATTTTGATACCTCTTCTACATGCAAAATGTACTACTTCTTTCTTGAAACGTCGTACAAGTCAGATACAAAACAAAAGTAACAAAAAACAGGCCGGAAACAAACTGCCGAATAGTTTTTCTGCACTCGTAGTCAGGTCAAGGTCTTCGGCTATCGCCTCGGACCTTCACCTGACTACTCGTGCAGAAAAACTATCCGGCAACAGTTGTTACCGGCCTATTTCTTTGTTACCTTTGTATTGTATCTAATACATATTAGTTTAATTACCAATGCTGGCAGAACTAGTGTGTAATCCTGTTCAATGACTCGTTTGGCTTTAAACACAGCAAACTTCTCTATAGGTAAAGACTTTCCTGCGATTCTCTGTTTAAGTCTTGGAACTTCACTAAAATATAAGATTTTATAATCATAATCCAAATTAAATACAGGAATTAGAGAAAACAGAAACTAGGGATTCTTAAGAGTCTGTGTCGCTAACATAGGTCTATGTGCATCTTCAACAATGGACACTTCCCAACATTATGGACTAGAAAAGAATTCATGACAAAAATCTCTTTTTTGTTGATCTTGTATTGCTGATCATTATTTTGTTTACAATTTCTCTCTATCTTCTGCAATTTTTGCCGAAATCACAAAAAGGGTAAAACAAATTGTTATTTAAGGGCAATCACTCCTTTAAAGAGTGTACTAACAATTACAGCAAAATTTGACTAGTTTGAAGATCTTGTCTTGCTGATAGTTTTTGTTTTTTAAAGGGTCTATCTATCTTTTATAATTTTCAAGAAAAATAGGCAAACTCGCAAAAAACTTGGTAAAAATTTGACATCAAAGAGTAACCTAGAGGCCTGGTGAGCTAAAAAATCTTCATACTTCCACATTGTATTCCACCTTTAACATGTTTAAATTACCATATTGTTATGAAGTAACAATGTGCTTTTTTCAATACAGATTTCAAATTTCTGAACCTTAGAAAATACAATAAATCAATAAGGATAAAGAATGTTAAAGTAAATGTAGAAAAAACTGAAAAACATATGAAATAATTTTGAAGACAACCTGGTTTCTGGGGGACAGCAGGCCTTTTATACCATATAATTCAGGTCAAGTCTTTGTTTGTTATTTAAGACCATGGATGGTGATATTCTTTTCCTTGGGTCAGTTTGAGTCACTTTGTGAAGAGTGATAATTTAGCCATCATATCAAATCTATATTATTTACATATCATTTCAAAAGGAATACATGAAATTGTTATAAACCAAAACCATTCATGAATTTGAAAAGCAATCAATCCTTTCCCAACTCTACTAAAAACTATTTCAAAAAGCATGCAAGGTGGTACTGTAAAAATTGATAGGTTGGAACTTAATTATATCTAAAATTACCCTATTGGTATAAAGAAGCAAGTTTTTTTCATCTGTGCAACGGATTTCAATGTCTTACAATTGCCTAAATGGGTAAATATCCGTTATGCAACTCAAAATTAGAAACACCAATGTGATATGTAAACAAAAAATCTCTTTGCAATGATATTTGACATGTTGCTATTTTTAATTATTGTCTGAGCTTAATCATGTGTGTTGTTTTGAAGAGCAGAAGACCATAGAATAAAGATTTTTAAATGTTTTTAAGACGCAGTTATTTAATATTTGCAAAGAACTGAATATCCAATGAATTTCATTGTGTAAAAGTAGGAATTTTTCACTTAGAAAAGCTGCATCACAAAGAGTTCTTTGGGGGTTTGATTAAATTGCTGTAAATTGAATCACACCCTCAATATATGTAAAACCACATATGCGACAATGTCTCATCTTTGAAAAGAGCCATTATACAGAGCGAAGTTTATGATATGGACAGAGGAATTGAAGAAATGTTACTTACATCACCTTCCTGATTCAGAACAAAAATTAGTGCAAAATGGTGATTACTAAACCCAATCTCTATGAAATGAACGAAATTATTTCTGTAAAAAAAACTTTTTGATCTAAATCCTAATCTACCATTTCTGTCAATGACCTTTCAGTTTAGGTCATGTAGGGAAAATATGACCATTTCTGGACCCTTGTTCCTGAAATTTAATGCACATATTGACCCACATATTGACCCAATTGGCTCTAGATAATACTCAATTTAACTGACAACTTTTATCTTTACTTTATCAATTTTTTTACGATCTAGTATGTTACATGTTGGTAGGTATCTATTTTTGCATTTTTTTTTAATATTACAGTGATAATGGCACTGGCATTGCCAAAACTAAAACATCTATTTACAAAAAAATAATTATTTCTTTTAGTTTTTTTTGGTACCATAAAAAGAAAAACATTATTTCAATACTTTTTGGAAGGAGGACTGAAAATGATTATTTTAAAACCTTCCATAAATTTTCTGAAATATGCATGGGTTCAAAGGTTGTTCAATAATGAAAAATTACAAAATAAATTTGCTTTTCCGATGATTAACTTTAAATAACTAGAAAATAAATTTGTCAATAACAAAGAATATAGTATGAATTGCGTATAAATCATTTTTGAAAAGGTGGTTGAGAGTGCTTTGAAATTTTATTTTTACATAGATATTGAATACACATAGTATTTTTTAATATGCCTTTATGATATAAATAGAACATTATGGAGCTACAGTTATGGTACATGTAAATGCATAGACATTTTACATGTCCGACTCCAAAACTTACTTAGTTTGGGGGCCCAAGCCCCCCCCTTTTTAAAATCCTGGATCCGCATGGGAGTATGAACCTAACCATTCAAAAAAACATATAAAAGGTTCTAAAGACATGTACTGTATACTGATAATAGATCTTAATCAACATAAAAATAACAAACAACTGTGTAGAAAGTTTGACATCACTGATGAAGAAATGAAACTCATTAACAAACGTTAATCAAAAACAAGATTGCACACATTGTTGTGCTATGCATACCACCACTCATAATAAGTATCAGAAAAAAGGAAGTAGGATGTCTGCCAAGTCTGCTGACTAAATTTGAGGTCATTCTGTTCAGCAGTACTTGAGAAATGTGTGAAGAAATTTTTTAGGTTCATTTAACATATTGAAAAACTTTAAGAATCCGCTAACAGGAAGTAGGTGTCTGGCAGATCCGAAAAAAGTCAAGCTGCTGACCAATTTCATGTCATTCAGTTTAGTAGTACCTAAGATTAATGCAGAATGTATCAATGGGACACAGATGATGCCCCCGCTTGCATATAACGTTATAAAGGGAAATTACTGAAGAACAGTAAAAGTGATGCAACCCAAACTCAAACTTGATCTGTGTTTTGTGGTAATAAGCATTGTGTATAAGTTTTATAACATTTGGTTGAGGGAAACTAAATTTAGAGAACGGAAACTAATTTGGGATGTATAATAGACGGACGGACGGACAAAGGTAACACTTTATAAAAAGTGTGATGAAAATATTTGTTGGACAAATGAATAGAAGGACAAACCAGCTGAAGGATGAAAAGACAGATGAATGGACAAGATGAATGCAATAAAACCCCCATTCCTAAAGTGGGAGTGTAATAATAATGCTAGATTTCAGTGGTTACCATACAAGATACACCACCTAGCTTAGACTACAAATTCTTTCCTGGAAAAAATAAAATCATTTTAAGTCACTTATGCACTTTTTGCATATACAACAAGATACCATTTCATTTTCATGGGAATGTGATGTAAACAACTGATACATGGGTTTTATCTACAGCAATCATAACACTTAATTATAATTTTACGACTTTTAATTTTGGTATTTTAATGTTAGAAATTATTAAGTACATATAAAATAACTGCTTCCTATTAAATATTATATTTATTTAAGTAGATACTTAAAATCAAAGATTTTTATCACTTCAGGCACTTTTGAAAATGTTAAATGATCTGTACTGTACTGCACTGTAAAAGAATGTGGTTTCATAAACAAAAACAGAAACAGTCTTAAAGGGAATTGAATAACGACAGTTTCTGTGTTAATATTAAAATCGCACAAACAAAAAAGGCTCTTTCCTTTAGTTTGTTTATGATAATAATAAATCTGCCAATTAACGCTATTCATCTCATCTTTGTTATTTTTGTATACAACAACAATGTAGTGATATTAAAAGTAAACAACAGATGACAAAACTATGTACAAATTTCTCTTTATTTTTATTCTTTTTACATATATCTAATATTTCTTTTTATATTTCATCTCCTATTTCAATCTTAATTCATGGTATCCCTTTAAATATATCATTAGGTTAATATTGATTGATTGATTTTTAGTGTTTAAAGCCACTTTCAGCACTGTTGGCTTTTTGGTGACAGTCAGTTTGATTTGGTGGCTGAAGCCAGAGTCACAGGAGAGAACCACCAACCTTTGGTAGGAACTTACAATCCTAGTCATTTAAGATCGGAGTCTAATGCACCTACCCCTTGCAGGGTTTGAACTCACAACCTCAGTGTTGACAGGCTAGTGATACAGTAGTTGAACTACTTGGACCACTTGGCCACCGAAGCCCCTCATTCAGTAAATAGTATGATAAGTGTTAAAACAATTAATTATAATTATCTGACAGTGTTATCTGCACTGTAATAATATATATTTGTATTTAACTGTTTATTATGCATCATGTGCTTTCAAAAAAATAAAAAATAGATTAAAAAATTTTATAAAGGGTGCCATTTTTATGCAACTAGAGACACAGTAGTTTTCTCAAGACAACTTACCTAAATAAATAATGAAGATGAGTTTTTGTCTCCTCGGTTTGATCGTCACACATGAGTAAAAATGCTGCTTTTTGATATGTATATGTAGCTTTACTCCACCTACTCTCCTTACATAGTCTCTCAGCATACTTCATGGCCATTAACCAATCTCCCTTGAAACTAAAAATCAAAGGTTATATCAAACTATATACTCTCTATTATTCTATGTTTTACAGTCTTGATATAACTTAAGTGCATGTACTTCAAAGGTGAAATACACTACAGGCAAATACAATCTCACATAAATAGAATAAAGGAATTTTTCTACCACAGCTTTGAATTTTGATAAAAAAATGAGTGTTTTTATTAATGTGAGTAGTCAAAGTTTGACTGAACTACAGAATCAAGAAACAACAGTACTGTTTATGAAGAGTTACCAGTGTCAATTGCAAATGCAGTTGTACTAGTGATGCAGGGGCGAATAAAACATAAAATAAAAGATTTTATTATATCCCAAAATCATCAACTGTGATTGTAAAACCAAGGAATTTACAGCGAATGTCATCTAACATAAAAACCAGACAACACAACACCATGGCCAATAGAAAAAGACCAACAGACAAACAGTCCAAAAACCACTACATAGAAATCTATAGATCTATAGATTAAACGACAATAACCCCAACAAAAAGCCATGGTGAACTCAAATGCTTCAGAAAGGTAAACAGTTTCTGCTCCACAAATGGCAACTGTCATCATGCTCAAGATATAGTTTTGTTCAAACTGGCTTAAGATTACTGGGTTCAAAATATAACAAATTTGACTCTTAAAAAATTGCTTTACATAGAGAATTTTGCCTTAGGGAAAAAGAATTATAAGCTTAAATTAAAAAAAAATTTAAACACAAACCAATGACACCACATCAACTCCCAAAAACATAAATGATGAAACTGTCTCCATTCCTGCTGGGAATCTATGGACTCTTCAAATCTATATAAAGCCTGAAATTGAAATATAAGGATGATAACATTAAAATAGCTCATTTAAACAGAAAAGTTATGATTCCTTTTTCATAACATTAAATTAGCTCACATAAACAGACAAGTATCATAATACAGATTAGTGGCTGTTATTGGGAAGCCACTTACAATTTGACATTTTTGAAAAATAAGTTGAAATGAATCATACAAGATTTCATTACTTAGAGCTTCTCCTTATAGGTTTTCAAACATTATGTATATCATTTCCTATCATCAAGCAGAAAGGATATGACTAAACATACATGATACAGCAATCCCTTGAATATTGGCAATTAAACAAACATTTAAGAAAAAAGACGAAAATTGCTAATTATGATATGACTGTCATATCTAAATCTATTTACAAATAAAAGAAGAAGTCGGGCACATGCCATTGAGGTAATAACCCAACCACATTAAAAGACAGACTAGACACCACTATGGTGGTTACATTTATAAATAAAATTGACCAATGTTGTGAAAAAAAGAAACCATCAATTTAGACTGTATGTGCACTAAAATGTCTATAGTTAGGTTCAAAAGTCATCAAAGGCTGCATTACACTGTTTTTACTTTAATCTTTTTGCATTGGAAACAACTTTAGTGCAATGAATAAAATTATTGGAATCACCCATTTTATTTTTTTTGCTACAAAAGCATCCTAGCTCTATCTCTGTTCAGACACTTGCCTTTCAAATCAATCAAATTCAATATTTTCAATATAAAAAATTTAATATTCAAATTTCTTCTTAATTCAGATGTTGATCCCAGAGATGAAAGAAATTCATGTAAAAAGGAGCTTTATGTAAAAACAGCTCGATTCATATTTGAAAAATACTATGGAAACAACAATTAACAAAAATTTCAAATAAAAATCACAATTACCTATGACAATCAAGAAGTGATACACTCTAAATCTAATCAACTGTTGGAAATAAGTACTTACATTATCTATATTTCCTTTTATTTCTTCAATTCTTCCAGAAAAAAATAAAAATAATGCTCCCTGCAATTTCAAAACAGAATTACATTTATACTATACATTTTAATGTATTCATTACTGAACAATATGAGTAAAACATTTCCGAGAGAGCACATCCATTGTATGCATTTCAAATGCAAATGCACAACTGAACTAAGACTTACATTTAGAAACACTTGAATTTTGCTGGTGAGTTTAAAAATTACAAGGTTCCATCATGGTTAACAAATGGTTAATAAATAAGTATATTGAAATATGTTTGCTGAAGAATTGATATTTTGCCAGAAAAATTTATGCATGTGCGGTAATCTTTTTTTAGGTATAATCATATAAAGATTAGGCAGTAAACAGTGCTCTTGATTTTCATAAATATTGAATAGATGTTTTCACTGTCAAAATATTTTAAGAAATTACGATGTTTTTATTAGATGTTGCAGGGAAATTGTGTGGTTACTGAGCAAAATTTCCTAATTCTATTAACGTGAGAGAAAAAATCAGAGAAGCTTAAAATAATAAAAAAGATGGCTGTCATGTACAGCAAACATCCAAACACAAACTTTCGCAAATAAAATCAAGCTTCTAATTACTAAAATAAAAAAGCTCCATGAAATTAACAAAATCAGCAGCTCCGTGAAAAGATGACATTTCAAGGCATCATTTCTAGAATTTTAATTATGTATAATAATGCAAGAGCTAACTTCACTTGACATGGCTTTTGAAAAAAACCAAATACGCATTAAGCTTATTGTATTTATCTCTAACAAATTACAAGCTACATTTAAGAGCCTGTCAATGAGAAAACCATACAAATGCAAAAAGTCCTTGGGAAGCAAGTTTTGAAAATTGATGTTATCATACCTGTCAACCTCTGAAAATGAAAATACAGGTCATGACCTATATTGAGGAAGATCATAATGTATACAGACATTTTTCAGTTGAATTTTCGTATTTAGAGGATTTTTTTAATATTCTTTAACATATACCAGTTTCCTAGAAATATTCACAATTGTGAAGTAATTACTGAAAATTTTTAAATTTTAATTTATGTTTTTCATTTTAACTTCATTATGCAAATGTATGTGTTAAATATTTATCATTAATCAAATATCAATATAAAACAATTCTCTCTTATGGTTTCATTCACACTATTTTTTATTAATGAATTTTATAATCCCAACTATAATAAGAAATCAGGTATAGCTAATGTGCTCCTATACACAGGAGGAAGGTAAAGAGAAAGAAGAAGTTACTGTAGTTTACATTCTGTGCACATTTGTAGAAAGATATAAGAAGATGGGGTATGAGTGCCAATGAGACAACTCTCCATCCAAGTCAAAATTTATAAAAGTAAACCATTATAGGTCAAAGTACGGTCTTCAACACGGAGCCTTAGCTCACACCGAACAGCAAGCTATAAAGGGCCCCAAAAATTACTAGTGTAAAATCATTCAAACGGGAAAACCAACGGTCTAATCTATATAAAAAACGAGAAACAAGAAACACTTATGAACCACATCAACAAACGACAACTACTGAACATCAAATTCCTGACTTAGGACAGGTGCAAACAATTGCAGCGGGTTTAAACGTTTAAATGGTACCAAACCTTCACACCCTTTTTCTGAAACAATAGTGTAACATCACAACATAGAAAGACACACTATAAAGTATCAACTGAAATGGCTTAACTCAATCAAAGGACATATTAACACCAGTGAACATACACTGAACAAATAAATTTGACCTATGATACAATGTAAATACAAAATAAATAAACTAAGGGAAGAATAATAAAAGTAACATGTTATACCGCTATGAAATGTTAAACAATTTAAGAAAAACAATATGCTCGAACAAAAATATCAGCCATTTGCAATTACTTTAAACACAGGTAAATGAAAATAATTTTGTTGTTAGGTATAAGTGTACAGTTCAAACAAATAGAGAAAGGAAATATTTTTACAAAATAAATAATTTTGATGTTCATAGTATGAAGTGAAAATTTATAGTAATACCAAACACTTATCAAAGCTGGTATATAGACCAGATATAACCCTGAATAACATTAAATAACAAAAAAGCATTACAATTAGTATCAACAGGTCAAATAAACAAGAAAGTACGATTTGAGAGTACTCGCAGTTACTGACAGCTAGTTTAAAGCCAAAAACAATTAATAATAAAAAATCATGCATCAGAGACTAAAATCAACTAAAACACATCCCAGGGATTTAGTATTTTAACATCAATGTAGACATGGATTTGAAGTGACAACAAAAATTAATGGTTAAAAATTGTTTAGGGACTTGCATCTCTGCAACAGATATGTATAAAGAGGTTCAAATTGTTTTAAAAGATTTTAATATGATTTTAATAGGATAATTGATATTTGCAAATAGCAAATTTTATAAATCAGGACATAAAATTGTATGTCAAGCTTGACTGGCTTCAACCTTTCTGGGGTACAATTAACAGATAATTAGAGAATTGTTATCACCTTTCAATCAAGAGTGTAACAAGAGGCTGTCAAGTGACAGCAAACCAGATTTTCCTGCTGAGGTCGAACCCTGAACAGTTGAGAAAGTATGGACACAACATTTAAGCATAAAACAGCTCTGAATTTGGATTGTGATTGAATATTTAAAATAGATTATTATCTAATTAATAATGAAAATGATATTTGCAAATCTGAACCCCAACCAGGATCATGTAAAAATTAAACATTAACACACACAACAAAAATAAAATACCACATAACAACTTCATAACACACATGACTTAAAAAATAGTTATAAAGAAATTTTGAGTTATCATTACTGGTTCATGGAATAAGTTTGAGTTATTTCCCTTTGAACAGAAATATGGTTTAACATAGTACTCTAACATTAGATAATCACTAAAAATAGTTCTCTAAATTTAGATATGATGTAGCACAATGTATATCTATTTTCAAATTATAATCAAATATAATCAATAGTTCCAAATATTTTTTCTTTCATTTGTCACACACTAATATAGATCTGCAACTTATCTATCAATGTCAACAACTTTTAATGTAATGAAATATATCCTTTAATAAAAATAGATTTTTATCTAATTAAAGGAGTTCACTTCATATTATATCTATCGCATTCAGAAAATTAGTTTATACAGAATAACAAATAAACCTACCACAAAATTCTTCAAACAATTTACCAAAGAAAAGAAAATAAACAGCTGCGCAATGAGCGCATGATTCGCCCGTCGTCTTGTGTGTGAATTTTTATGCAATAATCATAAATAGTTTCTGACATACAGCGCGACATGCGAAAACCCCCCTTTTTTTTACAAAAATCTCAATATCTCTAAAATAAAATTTTGAATCAAAACCAAAAAGTATACAGATCTTTAGATAAATATAACTAAGAAGTGTGTAAAATTTTAAGCAATAATCATAAATCGTTTTTGAGATATGGCGCAACATGTGAAAACCCCCCTTTTTTAAAAAAATTAAAAAATCAATATTTCTAAAATAAAATTTTGAATCAAAACCAATAAGTATACAGATGTTTAGATTAATATAACTAAGAAGTGTGTAAAATTTAAAGTAATAATCATAAATCGTTTCTGAGATACGGCGCGACATTTGAAAAACCCCCCTTTTAAAAAAAAAAAAATCAATATCTCTAAAATAAAATTTGGAATCAGAACCAAAAAGTATACAGATGTTTAGATTAATATAACTAAGAAGTGTGTAAAATTTTAAGCAATAGTCATAAATCGTTTTTGAGATACGGCGCGACATGTGAAAAACCCTTCCCCTTTTTTAACAAAATACTCAATAACTCAAAAATAAAATTTTGATCACCAAAAAGTATACAGATCTAAAGATTAATATAACTAAGAAGTGTGTAAAGTTTTAAGCAATAATCATAAATTGTTTTTGAGATAAGGCGCTACATGTGAAAAAAAAACACACACCTGTTTTAGTTACTAAGTCCCATAACTCAAAAATTTTTAATCTTATTTTCACCAAAAAGTATACAGATCGTTTGACCATCATAAGAAACAACTATGTTAAGTTTCATGAAATTTGGATAAGTCGTTCTCAAGTTACGGTGCGACATGTTTACGCCGGACATACAGACAGACGGACAGACGGACAGACAGACAGACGGACAGACGACATTTGTATACCATTATACGTCCGTCAAAATTTTGACGGACATATAAAAAAATCCAAAATGTCATTTATCATTAATACAATGTCTTTTAAAAATCTTTTAAAAAATGAGTTATTTCCCTTTGTACAGAAATGGATTAATTCATCAAAAATTGAATTCTTGGGAAAGGGCTACAACTGAACAACGAGAAAAGCTAAAATCATGAATATTGAACTTGACCTTCATTTAGTCGTAGAAAACAACATATCTAAATTTGAAAAAATTTCTTCAAAGCGTTTTCATGTAAATGAACCGACACTGTTTGGCAGCCACCCACCAAAATCTTGGGTGAGTTGGTTATTCACAAGTCACAACCACAAATTACGGGTCAGTTGACAGGTATGTGTTATATGACAGGGTATATATGTATGAAGGGACTCTGTGTATACCATCAAAAGTGAAAATATTTCATTCTGTTTTTAGAAATAATCCATTCTATTTTTAGGACACATTCAAACTTTGGCACAACTATTTTCCTGTGAAAAAATTGCACTAATTTAAGAGATAACTATATATTATTTGAAGCTTGGCCTACGTAAAACGTGGGTTTTACTGTCACAAACTGAGTTTACCTAGCGACACAGAGCGTAGCTGGTAAACAGATATTTGCGACAGTAAAATCAAGTTTTACGTAGACCAAGCTTCAAATACAATATGTTATCTCTATTCTAATGCAAAATAAATGAATCAGTCCATTTCAGTCATTACCTCTGTGTAAAATTTCATAAATGGAAAATTCCGCGAAATGATGTTATTTATTGTCTTTGGCAACTAAACAAGGTGACGTCACATGTATGCTTCCAGCCTCAAATGTAAACACTGGGCATTTTCAGGCTTCTTGTATGCCTCAGAATGTAATGAAATTAGATAAAAAGAACTTTATTAGGTGAAAAATGTGAGTTTTTTATTTATAATTGAAAAAATAACATGTCAATACATTCCAGAATTCAAAATGTCAGCTTCCCTTAGCTACAGACAGGTAGATAGAGGATTTTACCCTTGTTGTCATCAAATCAGAACCATTGATACAAAATAATTGCATTCGAATTATTTTTTTTCACCAATTCATTATCATCCTTTTCAGTATTTGACAATAGATATAAGTGGCCAAATTCTTGACAAAACCTAAAATATTAATTTGTAAAAATCAAAAATACTGCTGAAGAAGAGACAACTATAAATGTGCATGGCTATGTCTATTATCAGTGATAAAATCTAATCCTACATTTGTTGATCACAGCTTGTGTACAACTGCACTTTGATTTACTTACCTTAGGATAAAGTTTGAGACATGGTTTTAATAGTTCTTCAGCCAAACTAATGTCACCATCACCTAAACCTGGACACATAAAAAAAATTATATGAATTTGATATAAAGTCTCACATTCAAAATATGAAAAGCATAAAAAGCCAGGAGTTCAAAGAATTAAGAACAATATTTAGTACACTTTTTTTAAAGAGGCAGTATCTATGTTTTTCACAAAAAAATAGGTTGACAATTTTTTTTATAATTATAAAGGAATATAGTACATTTTGAATATAAAATAAGAATGACATGCATTTTTGGTGCCAATCTGAACTTTCTTTTAACAATTATTAATATTTCATTTAGTAGTTGAATTTTAATCAGTCCAACAAAAACTCCTTTGAAAACCCACCCATATTCATATAACCTAATAAAAACTCACTAGTACGCAGTTTTGATCAATAATAACACGTTTACCAAAACAATATTAAACTTTGGTAGACCAACAACTTTCACCACAAGTTAAGCTCAAAAAAGAAATAGTAGAAGTTTAGCAAACCATGATTAATATAGGGAAACAGTATTTCCCTGGTTTGTCTTTTCATACATCAAGATCAATCTTCAAATTTGTCATCAATAAGTTACAACAATTATTATCATAATCTGTAACTTACAATTGATTAAAATATACCAACCTAGAACATAACAAACTACTGTATGATATGCTATTAGAATTATAGAACACAGTGGGCCTCTTAGACTTGATAAATCTTCTGTTCCTTTAAGTAAAGCTTGTAATCCTGCTTTCTGAAAACAGAGACAGATACACATATAAGTTTTCTTTTTTCAGCAAAAGTCATAAATCTGTTCAAAATAAGGAATTATTTGAATCTAGGATAATTTTGAATTCTGGAAAATTGATAAGAAATGTATGTTGAAAACTAACCCAACTAAATAGGGTTAGCCATGCACGCATGGCTAAGGGGGGTTAGTTAGTTCATGCTGAAATATCAGCGAAAGTAAAATTAACCTTAGCCATGCGCGCATCATACTTTTCTTATCAATTTCTGTAATTCAAAATTATTCCAGATTTAAGTAATTCCTTGTTTCAGTTTCATTATATAATTATTACCATGCCAAAATTAAAGAAAGAATTGATAAGGCCTGCCAAGGAATTAAAATTACATTAAGAGATATACAGGTAGGTTTTTTCTTCTTCACTTTCATTATCAGATGGTATTTCAGACCAATCACCTTTTGACAGCTATTTACTTCTTAACAATAAATCTTTAACATAAGAACAGTTTACTACTTATTTTGCCCATTTACAGGCAAGATTTAGAGTTTCACTTAATTAACTTACAATTCTATCTTTACTACTGTCAGAAGCCATGTGGTTCAATTATTTACACCTATTTACAATAGTGTCAAATTCAACAGGATTGTCCATAGACATTTAAACACATGAAAAGTAAAACAACAAAAAAAACAAACTCCAAGGAAAATTCAAAACCCTTATCAAACGGCAAAATCAAAAGCTCAAACACATCAAACGAATGGAAAACAACTGTCATATTCCTGACTTGGTATAGGTATTTCCTTATGTAGAAAATGGTGGATTAAACCTGGTTTTATGGCTAGCTAAGCCTCTCACTTGTATGACAGTCACATAAAATTTCATTATATTGACAACAATGTGTGAATCCTGGAAAAAACTATTCATTGCAGAATTGTTTTTCTTTTCCAACCTCCAAAGTTCAAAGTTTTAAAAATGATGGAAACTTCTTGGGATCCTTTTTCAGACAAATATGAAAATGAGTGACAACTAGATGAATGAGTGCAAGTTTGATGTTAATTAGATCAGTGGTTTCAGAGATAAAGATGTGTTATATAAGACTATAATCTGTGGTGAGTGTTATATTAAATATTGGATGAAGGAATGGGTCATTTTGTGTAATCAGTACTCTTGAGTCTAAGACTCACTTATGATAGACTTTGGCATGCATTTGTCAAATTAGTTTATTAATGAGTATTATTCTACAACATTTCTCTTTATAGCAATGGCTGCAGATAGCTAAGATTGGAACCTTCTTTTTGTTTAACACTACTTTCAGATTGATTGATTGATTTTAGGGCTATTTCGTGGTGGCCAGTTTTTATTGGTGGAGGAAGCCGGAGTGCCCGGAGAAAACCACGACCTTCGATAGGAAAACTGACAAGCCTAGTTGGGTGCACCCGCACGAGCAGGGTTCAAACTCACAACCTCAGTGTTGACTGGCTAGTGATTACAGTAGTAACTACTTAGACCACTCGGCCACCAAGGCCCCACGCTACTTTCAGCATTATTGTGCTATTTCATGGCCATCAGTTTTTATTAGTGGAGGAAGCCGAAGTGCCCAGGGAAACCACAGAGCTTTGGCAGGAAAACTGACATGCCTAGTCAATTAAGATTGGAGTCCAATGCACCTACTATGAGCAGGATTCAAACTCACAATCTCAGTGTTGACAGGCTAGTGATAAAGTAGTTCGGCTACTCAGACCACTCGGCCATCGAGGCCCTTCCTGTCTTATGTGAGCAATAGAAACTATTTTAATGGATTGAAAAAATCAGATTTCTTATGTGAACATTACCTTATTTCCTGAGAATCCAACAAATTCTAGAAGTTTCATAACTTTACTTGGAAGAAGTGAAATCATCTGCAACATAAAGACAAAACTTGTGTGATATTTGTGTCTATATACAAACCAGAAGTATCAATAAGACACATACCAGTATATATAAAGTCAGATGTATAATCATTTTCTTTAAACATATGCAATTCAATTAACAACAGCAATTCTAGTTCCATATTGCACAAGTAATTTTCAGCTACTGCTGGCTATCACAAGGAACACTTACATGACGTCATACGAATGAAAATGCCAAAGCTGAAGGTTATTCTGTTGCGTTAACCCTCCAAATTCAAATAATATTGCATTAAAATGGAGTTTTGCCGTAGATGTTGTTTTATTTTCTATTCTATTGCATTATTCGCACATTTACTGATTTCAGCAGGTTAACATTGCAGCTCCTTAGTTACGAAATTTGTGGATTTGACCGTAGCTTACGAGAAAAAAATGTAAATTAAAACTGGCAATTGTTGGGGTTGAGAACTAAATGAATTAAACACATTTTTTCAAGTGGTTATTAAAGAAACAATTCATGCAAGCTATAGATTTATTATAAATTTTTAGCTTTATCTATCAGGGGGTAAAAAAGAATAGCCATACACACAGCATACCCTGCCTCGCTTCAGTTTTTTAATGACCATATTTGTCCTATTAGAATCGAAATAATTCATGGAAGCCATAGATTTGTTGTAAATTTACACATGGCTTGGGCCATGTGTAAATTTCCTACAAATCCATGGCTTCCATGAATTATTTCTTAAGTAAATTATACTACATGTACTGTGTTTTATAAATAAAAAAAAAAAGTATCATCATACCAAGTTAAAAGCACCAACTCCCATTAGCACACCACTCTCAAAATGGAGTTTCTGTTTCTCATCTGCAAAATTTCTCTTCAGTAAAATTTTATTACATTCCCTGTATAAAAAAATCAAGAACATAAAAAGTAGACACTTTCATACAATAATATACAAGCATGCTCACATACTATTTGGGATGGCAAGATGCGACATTTGCCTACAAAAACAGATGGTTGCGTGTATCAAAATTTTCTCGTGAAATTGGACAACTTTGCCATCCATTGCATTGCAGTTTTCACATGCCAGCATATCATCATGAAATAGTCTATTTTTAATTTATCAATACCCAATGAACATTTATATATACCTTTAATGGTCACAATCAAATTTGTAGCATTTTTTAAAGAAAAGAAGTTTTCTGATTTTTTTCGCAATAGACATGATGGAAAAGGTAAATATTCTTAATTTCAATATGAATACAGTTATTGATTCTTTAAACCTACGTTCAACTTTCCTTGAAAGATTTCATTCAAATATTACATATATCCATCTTTTTTTTAAGTAATTCATAATAGGCTTTTACAGCACTAGTATGATTACCATGTTTCTTTTTTTGTCATTTTGTCTTGGATGTGCTGTGTGTATGAAAACTGTTCTATATTTTTACACTATGGTTACAATTTTAAGTAGTGTTATTAAAAATGCTTCTTTTCACAGTAAGCATACATTAATCAACCAGTGTGTTTTTTCTTAATTATACATTTTCTCCGTAATTAATAAAAGAGAAATGAGGTTTATGTCAATAAACAGTAACCCAACAACACTAAAATACCAAATAACTAGACTGTCTTATTGTTTTCATTTCCAATTTCTGAGCCAGTTATGTATGTATGGTTTGCTGTGATGTCAACAATTCATCCTTTTGTCATTTTTGCCAGGTACTTACTTGTAAACTTTATAACATTCTCTAATTTTCAACCCTCCTTTAACAAAACTGATGAGATTCTCATCTTGTACAAAGGTCAACAGTGCTCTCAGAAGTAAACATTCAGCATAACATAGCTCTGCATGGATTTCATCTGAAATAAAATCCATTAATAAAAAAGATTTTCACAAATTTGGGATTAATAATCTATAGCATTTTGGGTAATGATTTCAAAAATGTAATAAAAAAATAATGTGATTGTTAAACAACATGCAACACAAAATGACATTCATGACATTGTTTTCTGTTAAAAAATACATTATTATTTTATAAACAATCAAAAAGGATTATTAATGAGGGGGGGGGGTGAGACCATTTTCGGGACGCCGGGATCGGCCGAATTTTAGAAACGGGAAATCAGGATTGCCTTGTTTAAAGATCGGGAATTCGGGATAGATAAAAATCGGGATACGGGAAAGCCACGTTTTTAGCCACGGGAAATCGGGATTTTTATGTTGAAATATAACGGGATTGACAAAAAACTGTACCTTGGACAGATAAAAGTGCAATTTTCATTATACTTCAATCAGCCTGAAACGCATCTAGAAACAGAGTAGATTATTTGTAGCACTATTACTGTACATTTTGAAATCTCTACAGGCGGAAACCCAGATGAAATAGAACAAAAGAATCGAAGCTCTTTGTTAGAGAAGGCGATAAATGCTTACTGTAATGTTTACTGTAGTAACACAATTTTAAAAGTTAATAGAAACAAATAAAATGACAGTTTTTTGCTAAATTACGAAATATTTTATCATAAAAACACAATTTGCATAAGTTTTCAATTTATCTATTACATAATTAAGCAGAAAAATTAAATATCAAGTCGACGACATGGGTGTCTATTAAGTTGGATCTAAAAAATGCATAACCTCCGATTTTTCAAAAAAAATTACCACGGACGGAGAACATATCAATCTATTTGTTCCTTAATTTTCGTTTCTGCCCTTCCATTATGTGACTCAAGAAAAAATTCCAAAAAATGGGTAACAATTGCATCGAAAAGAGAAAATCGAGTGCACCTTTTTATGTTAGGGCGTGTTTGAGTTGAATATTTTGTCTTGAAAACGTAAAAAGCAAAAGTATTTGATACATCATCTCGCTTCAGATTCTATCATTTTTATATATCAAGGCTACAGGTTGACTTTAAAACATCGAAAATTCACAGTACCAAAAAAAATTAAATATATAGGTCAAGTGAAATACCTTTCTAATGAATCATAAAAGCAGAGTAGGTGTGTTCGAATAGCAAATTTTTACTAAAAGTACTTGACGACAGACTTTTAAGTTGGATCTTAAAAATGCATATCTTCGAAAAAAATTCATTTTTTGTGTGTGATATCTAGGGTTTATAGTCTTCAACCACTGAAAAGTTTTAGTCTGCCCTTCCATGAATTATTGAATTAGAATTTTTTTAAATGTTTATGAATTTTTGAAAATTCCAGCTTACAACCGATCAGACAATAGTTTTAAGTTGACTGAATGCAGACAAGTACATTAACTGGTGCTTGTTAGCTAGTAGATACATTTGTCTTTTAAAATACAACTGGCATATAAGGATCGTAATGGTGCTATGCGGATAAATTTATCGGTTTTCAAGAGCTAAATTGTAAAAATGAACTGGCGTAATGGGGAGATAATTTTGACAAAGTAGAATTTTGACTGTCTAATGGACCAAAAAAAAAAGAAATTTCAAAAAATTATTAAAGTCACGGACTATCTTGATTATTTTTATTTTTAAAACATGTTTTCTACATAAAATAAGCTTAACTTTCTACTTTTCTAAATTGTGTCCCCACAAGAGCCTCAACATTAATTCATACCTGTCAATCACTACTAGAAAATTGACCCATTATTCATCATTATTGATTTTCCCAAGGTCGGTCGATCAGCTTCTTGTTGGTGATCAGTTGTGTAGTTGCATACAGCCCTAACCATAATCATTTATCCTAACAAGTGTCTTAAAATCTGGTATTTTTTTAAATTTTATACATGATGTAAAGCAGCGTTTCGACTACTTTATAAATCTCTCAAGTGACATTTGTAGTTCTGTTTATGTCTGTAACTTGGTTGATCCTTGGTTCAGTGGTTTTTCGAATGGTGACTCAATAGATTCAAATTTCTCTCCGTTACAAAACGATTCCAGTGCTTGTCATATAGGTTCTTGTATTGACATGAACTGGAATTTGGCCAATTTTCTGACTGGCTACTGAAGATTTATGAGAACAAAAATGCTTATATGCAGCTTGACGTCACGGTAATATTGATAATACATATTCGGATTGGTTACGCTGAAAGACTTTAAACATCAATCATACCCGAGACGCTTAAATCGTAAGCATTGAAACTTTAAACTTTAAAATTGGGGAACAAATTTATCCGGATCGGGATTTTTAACAAAATGTGTCCGGGATTTCGGGATTTTCTGATATCAAAACCAGGAAATCGGGATGAGACCCCCTCTCGCCCACCCCCCCCCCCCCCCCCTCATTAATGGAATTTGTTAATACTGTGTCCAATAGAGAATATTATACAACTACTGTCTTTTGATGAGGTAAATATGTGGTTTTATTGACTTTTGAAAAAACTGAAGTTTTTCAAAAGTCAATAAAACCACATATTTACAAAAACAAAAGACAGTAATTGTTTTGTTCCATATTCTGAGAGAGTTCTGAGATAAAATGTATGTAATGACATTTATTTACTAAAACCAATTGTACGTTAAATGATTTTGACATAATTATACACGTAAACGCACGCGACATTTTGTGTGGTGAATATACTTTTTCCACAGGTGAATATGCTTATTTATTCAAATTCCAATTCATATAGAAAAACCTACTAAATTTTTATCAATATGGAATAACAAGTATTATTGTATTGCAACATAAAATATCCCGAAGAAATAATTTGTAGCCTGCTTGCTTTAATTGCAGATGGTTGCAGGTTTGATCCCCGATCAAAGACTTTAAAATTGGTATTTGCTCTTCTTTGCAAGCATGGGCCATTAAGGAATAAAATCAAAGACTGGTTGACTTGGAGTCAGAATAATGTCTCTGAGTATGGATTGATATGACTTGCAGCAGAGTAAGTCTAGTATATCTGTTATTGTCATGAATATGCATGTCTTATGTTGGCACTGGACATTTAGTAGCCACCAACTATTAATTAATAAATCATACAGCTATACTATAAATTAATGTTTTAAAGACAATATCCTTCTGCTTTATAATAAATTGGTATATTCATCCCAAAACACCTTGCTGCAAATGCTTCAATACAATAAAACATCTAAAATACCATTTAGTGTTACCTTCTTTAAGTTGAGATGTCTTAATTCCAGAACGTGTTATGGTTTCAGTGAATGAATATTTACGCCTGTGTCGATCACAAACATGCAATGACTTCTTCAGTGCCTGAATAGCTGCCTCAATATCAGTCTAAAAAATTGGAAAAACATAATTTTTAACATGTATTTTGGGGCCCTTTATAGCTTGCTGTTCCGTGTGAGCCAAGGCTCCATGTAGAAGGCCGTACTTTGACCTATAATTGTTTACTTTTCACAATATCTACTAAAAAATTATTACATTATGGCCAGGATGAAGTTTTCAATAGTGAGTCACAGCAAGAGATGCAGCAGCCATCACAAACTTAGTAAGCTCGTTCATCATTTTGTGTAAGTAAAATATTTTTTTCTGTTCTTCTCACGACATATAGAATGTTTCCCTTACTTTGAAAATATAATTTTAATCGAAGTATGGTAATTAGCCATATTCTTATATCATTATTACTTCTGCCTTTTACACATAAAAAAACCAATAACTGATTATTACCATGTCAAATGTCATGACAGCCTGAATGTAAAGTATGGTCCCGTATCCCAGGGCATGATACATACTGCTGCTTGACCTACAAAATAACTTTAAAATCAATTAACTCCTCAAAGGTGGAATATAAGCTGAACAAGTCTTTCAAAAAAACATTGTGCCAGATAATATTGGATAAATAAACTTCTAAATTGAGATTCTAACATTCTGTTGACATAATCTGTATAATTATTGAAGATTATTAATATACATGTTTATATGAAAATTCAAATTACATCTATCTTTACCCTGCAGCTCTTATAAAATCTCCATATAAATACACTTTCCTCAGAATTTTAACTATGTTCAATCATTTAACACAGACAAATAACAAAAGGAATGCTAAGAAATTCATGTGCACAAAATGCCAATTGTATTTATGAAAAAAACATTTGAAAAATTAAGCAAAATCATTGTGTAATATCATATTAAGTTAAAAATAAACTGTTATCACAGAGATATGTCTCGCCTTTTTGTAATTTTGATAATGCAAATGTTGAAATCAAAATAGCAATACTTTAACATGTGAGTTATGTAAATATTCAAAGTCGATGAACCATGACTGAAGGTACATGGCTAAACAATCTCCATGGAATGAGATGTGCCAATGCTAATACAACTGCATACCAAATACCATTGACTTATTATAAGTCGTTCCCTTTAAACAAACCTAAACACAAACATTAACTTGTAAACTATGTAAAAGTTTCAAAGTCAATGAACCATGATCAGGGGTGGGGCTATATAATCTCCATGGACACTTACTTGCAAATGCCAATAAATTTGCATACCAAATATCATTGACTTAACATTAGCAGTTCATCTTAAACTGATCTAATCACAAACTAATACATATAAACTAAGCAAAAGTTTCAAAGTAAATAGACCATGAGTGAGGAGGCGGGGCCAAATATTCTCCATGGAAATGAGATGTGCTAATGCTTATACAACTGAACACCAATTAACATTGGCATACCACTAATGGTTCCCCTTGAACTGACCTAATCACAAACTAATACATGTTAACTTAGCAAAATTTTCAGTCTATAGACCATGACTAAGGGGGCGGAGCCATATAATCTCCATGGAAATGAGATATGCCAATGCTTATACAACTGCATACCAAATATCATTGACCTAACACTAGTGGTTCCCCATAAATTGACCTAATCACAAACTAATACATGTAAACTATGAAAAGTTTCAAAGTCAATAGACCTTGACTGAGGGGGCGGGGCCAAATAATCTCCATGGTAATGAGATGTGCCAATGCTAATACAACTGCATACTAAATATCATTGACATTCCATTAGTGGTTCACCATGAACTAGACCTAATCACAAACTAATACATTGTTGACGCCGCCGTCGCTGGAAACAGCATACCTATGTCTCGCTTTTTGACTCTGTCAAGGCGAGACAAAAACCCAGTTAATATGATCAGATGCCCTTCTTAAATTCCAAAGTTCATTTTAATAAAAAGATCAAATTCTCTTCTGTAAGATTCTCTGTTGGTAGTAATATAATAAGAAATCGTGTTTTGAAAAGCTTGTAACAAACCCAGGTTCCATCCTAGCTTTGGCATCTGTGAACTTGTTGTTGAGAAAAAGTTTGAGAGCTGTACTGGTCTGATCTATAGCATCTGATAGATCTAATTTTGATCTGAAAAGGAAAGGTTGTGCAATTCTTTATTGAAAATCTTAGAAAATTGCATGCTTAATATATAGTGACAGATGGTTCCACATAATAGTATGAGCAACTCCAATTGATCTATAATTTTTACCGACTGAAATATTTATTCTATCTCGTCAGGACAATGGTAAATAAAACTTTATACCAAAACCTTGAAATGTTTAAAAACATATGTTTTTATTGTATTGGCTAGAATATCATTAACAATATATTCAAAATAATAAAAGTATGAAAATGGTAAAGGAATCCTGAATGCATGATCAAATTCTTAGGACTTACCGAGAAACCTTTTCTACAGAACTAGCCATCCTAAACAGTTATATATTGACCAGATGGTTCATTTTGTTATCCAAGAAAACAACTGAGTCAGCCGTATCTACTTTCAATGAGAAACTTTATTGATCATAATACTTTATGTGGTGGAATCGTCAGAAAAACAAAATTATTGATTATTTATTCTTTAAGCTTTATAAGTGCAGCAATCATTGCTGATTTTTACCAATAGATTGTTAAATAGAAATGTCAATATGCCTGATTTCTATCAATAAAGAAAATCAATTCTGCTCATCAAAATATGCAACATAGAATAATTTAATAACTTGTTTGCTGCTGCATACATCCTCACATTACTTTCTTCATTTACATTTTTTTGGTAGCACATCAAATGTATTCATTTGATTTAGTGGTACATGCAGTCATTATATACAGTACACACAAAGTGATTCTCTAAAAAATCCCTCTTGGTTGTAAATTTTCACAGTGAATGCTGGTGGATGTGGATGATTAACTCTGAAATATCTCTCAGTATATTCTATAGGGAATTAGTGGACCAAAACTAATATCTCCCCTTCATCTATAGAAGTCTGACTCCAGTAATGTTAAGTATTGGAAAGAAATTGTTAAAGCATTTATTAAAAAGATGATAAATGGTTAAGGGGTGGGTATTTAAACAGTTTTTGATATATTCAACAATTTCTATTAAAAGAGGACAGGGCATGAACCCCAGGAAAACAAACCAAGGTGAATTGGAAAGGTCTTATTATGACAAATCATAATATGTATGGTTGAGGAATGAGAATCTGAACTTTTTTTATTCTTTTAACAATCTAAGATATAAGGGGTTGGACATGAATGCAGTGGTCTCCCCAAGGCCTTCAAGCACCATGTGCCATCTGAATGTATATATGCTTTATAATATAATGTATTATAAATCTGGTGCCACAATTTTCAAATCTCATGGCGCTATTTGAAAATACTGAGAACACAGACCCCCGGGAACAAAACCCTATGGTGCACTGGAAAGGTTTCATCATGACAACTAAGAGTATCTGGTTAAAGGGTAAGATACTTATTAATTTATTGTATGAGAGGTGGGGCATGGCCCAATGGGCCAATCCCTTAGGTGTTAGAAAAGGTCATGCTATGGCAAACAAGAATGTATATGGTTTTTGGGTGGCCATGAAAATGTTTCTAAAATAAAATAATTTGACCTTGAAGTCAAATGACAAGGTCAGAGGTCATCTTCAGATGCACAATATATCACAGAAATGATGCAACTATGACCCAGATTTCAAATGATAAAAAAGTTTGTCCAATACACGGATAAAAAAAAACCAATTATTTGACTTTGCAGTGAAAGATCAAGGTCATGTGAAGGTCATGATGATAAGTGATACAATGTCTTATGGTTGTACACCTTCAAGCCAAGTATCATAATTCATTGTCAAAAGAAACTACCTCAGTGGCCACATGGTCATGTGCTCACCTCAAGTAAGGGATGATGTTTGTTTCAAACCACAACTGGGCCTATAACAAAAGACTTAAAATTAATGCTAATTGTCTGCTAAGCACACACTGACACTGGCCACTAAGGACTAAGAGCAAAGACTTGTTAACTTAGAGTTAGAATAATGTGTCTGGGTAGGGCGACATGTCTTCTTAAGGACTGTGAAATAGTACATTAAAACTCGGGCTAAGCATGTCAATTGTACAAAGCAGGGTTCATATTCATATTGCATTAACATGTTCTCTTCCTGAATATGCATTTAATTTGCCACTGGAGATTAAACAACAATCCATCATCATCTTAACAACAGTGACAAAAGATAAAACAGTTTGGGCAAGCACAAGGTTGTATGAGACTGAAACCATAGCATAAAAAGTGGGTATTATCATGATTATTGACCTTTATTGCCCCTATGGTGACTAAGTTTCTGAAATACACATTCATGAAAGTTAAAATAGTAGTCAACTAGAAAACTGAAATGGGATTATGTCAGCAAGACCCACTTTTCAACAAACACTAAGATTTATCACAAATTTGACACCAGGAATCAACTTGAAATACAACAGTACAACTACAAAATATTACTTTTGTATATTTCAATTTAATTGAAATCCTAGCACAAAAAGGTGTTTCTCAATATTTGTGATTTTTTTTAACAAAAGCTAAGTCTTTACCACGTTTACAACAGTTTCTTTTCCAATTTTCCAATATTAAATGTATTGATTTTCATAAAAAAAATATGTTTTTTCAAAAAATTTTGATTTCTTAACAAAAATTTAGTTTGTATCACATTTTCTTATTTTAAGTTTTTCAAAATGGACCTTCCTTTAAATGATTTTTAATCATACAAATTATTGAAATCAGTCAAGGCAATTTTAATCGAATTGCTGACAGATTGACAGACAGTGATTACACTATGGCACTGCCAACTAGTGGGTGGGCCTTAACAACATTGTTACAGAGTATCAATATCCCCTGCCTTTAAACTGGTGCATATTTCTAAAGCAATACTGATGACAATTCAGACAGACACAAACCAATTGGCATTGTTTTGGTGGACTATTGTCTACACTTCATCTCTAGAAGTCTATGTAAAGGATATAAAAGTTTTGTTCTGTACAAAAAATGTAAAAAAAATATTATGACCTTGAGGTCAAAGGTCAATGTCAAATGAAGGTCATGATGATATGCAACTCACAGATTTGAGTTAATATAGCTTTGTGCCATTAATAATGAGCCAGTGTCAAAACATAATAAAATGCTTCGCTGGGCGCAGCTTGATACGACCGCAGTGGTCGAACCCTGAACAGTTGGGGCAAGTATGGACACAACATTCAAGCTTGATACAGCTCTGAATTTGGATTGTGATTAAATATTTGACACAGCATAGGTTTCTGACACAGAGAGAATGTGGTCTAAGAACTTCAATTTTTTTAATTTACCTATTATGGTCCAATGTCCAAAATCAAAATACATGGTTAGATTCAGCATATCAAAGAACCCCATATATTCAATTTTTTTTTAAATCAAACAAAGTTTAATTTTGGACCCCAACTTGGACAAACTTGAAAACTGTAGCCGTCTGATCTATAGTTTAACCGGTTGTGACATTTTGACTGAGTGCGCATGGCGGGTGATATAGGCATCGCAGGAGACGCCCATATTTTAGTTTATGCAATTCCCTCATAATCAAAAATCTAAACATATGTTTAGATTCAGCATATCAAAGTACCCCAAGAATTCAATTTTTGTTAAAATCAAACTAAGTTTAATTTTGGACCCTTTGGACCTTAATGTAGACCAATTTAAAAATGGGACCCAAAATTAAAAATCTAAAAACACGGTTAGATTTGGCATATCAAAGAACCCCAAGAATTCAATTTTTGATGAAATCAAACAAAGTTTAAATTTGGACCCTTTTGACCTCAATATGAACCAATTTGATAGCGGGCCCACAAATAAAAAATCTAAATACATGGTAAGATTCAGCATATCAAAGAACCCCATATATTCAATTTTTGTTGAAATCAAACAAAGTTTAATTTTGGACCCCAATTTGGACCAACTTGAAAACTGGACCAAAAATCTAAAATCGAAATACATGTTTAGATTCAGCATATCAAAGAACCCCATATATTTAATTTTTGTTGAAATCAAACAAAGTTTAATTTTGGACCCCAACTTGAACCAACTTGAAAACTGGGCCCATTATCAAAAATCTAAACACATGTTTAGATTCAGCATATCAAAGAACCCCAAGAATTTAATTTTTGTTAAAATCAAACTAAGTTTAATTTTGGACCCTTTTGACCTCAATGTGGACAAAGTTGATAACGGGGCCCAAAAATCAAAATACATGGTTAGATTCAGCATATCAAAGAACCCCATATATTCAATTTTTGTTGAAATCAAACAAAGTTTAATTTTGGACCCTTTGGACCTCAATATGACCCAATTTGATAGCAGGTTCCACAAATAAAAAATCTAAATACATGGTTAGATTCAGCATATCAAAGAACCCCATATATTCAATTTTTGTTGAAATCAAACAAAGTTTAATTTTGGACCCCAATTTGGACCAACTTGAAAACTGGGCCAAAAATCAAAAATCTAAATACATGTTTAGATTCAGCATATCAAAGAACCCCATATATTCAATTTTTGTTAAAATCAAACAAAGTTTAATTTTGGACCCTTTGGACCTTAATGTAGACCAATTTGAAAACTGGACCCAAAATTAAAAATCTAAATACACGGTTAGATTCAGCATAACAAATAAATAAATGTGGTCGAAGATTTTACAAATCTAATGCCCAATACTGTCCAATTAAAGATTACTTCTTGAAATTTTTCAATATTTGAAATTTGAAAAAAAAATAATATTTGAAGAATAATTCTTTTTAATTTCTGAAATCTGAAATGAGAAAAAATTGACCCCCCACAATTTCTTTAACCCCCCCCCCTTTTTTTCCCCCAAAAAATTCTTTCCCTCAAGATATGGTCATAATCTCAATTCAAATTTCCAATTGAGTTTGCAACCATAATTACCCATTTAAATTTACCATAGTGCTAACTTAATCTATTTTATAATAGAATTTAAAATATAGTGTCAAATCTTTCATATGGATTTTGTTGTTAAAAAAAAAAGATGCAACATTTGCAGATATTTTTACTGGTCTTCCTTTATAAATATGCATTTCTTTAAACATAATTTAAAAGCAGTGTAAGGGAAGTAACCAAAAGTTGTATTTGGATTACCTCCCTTACACTGTTTTAAATTATCTTAATTGTTCATTAACCATTACTTTATACATAATTTAAAAGCAGTGTAAGGGAGATAATTTCAATGATGTATTTGATTTATCTCCCTTACACTGCTTTAAATTATGTTTTGTACTAAAGTATTTGTCCATTAACCAGGACAACCTTGTTTTTCCCCCTTTTTTGCCCCTAATTCTTAAACGGTTTGAGCCATAACCCCCCAAAGCAAATCCTAACCATCCCTTTGTGGTATGGAAACTTGTAGTATAATTGCAGAGAAATCCATACACCGTTCCACAGTTATTGTCTGGAAACTAGAAAATGCTTATTTTTGGCCCCTTTTTGGCCCCTAATTCCTTAACTGTTGGTACCATAACCTGTTGTATTGAACCTTATGGTAAAATTTCATAGAGATCCATTCACTTAAACTAAAGTTAGAGTGCGAAAACTAATGCATCTCGGACGACGACGCCAACGTCATACCAATACATGTATACGACCACAAAAATTTTTTTGCGGTCGTATAAAAAAAGGTTAAGACCCAGACATGATCATATGAGAAGAAAAGACCTCCGGACTTGACCTTTGACCTTCCAGAATTAGACTACAAAAACAAACCGGTAATGTCTCCATTTGTCGAAGGGGGGACATAATTATGTTTAAGATAATTGAGTCCATTATTTAAAATAAAGAAGTACACAGACTTTGCTGGTATTTTGTATGCCAACAGAGAGGACTGAACATACCAATCCTTGCATGAAATGAAATATTGAAACTAGAGGCTCTCAAGAGCCTGTGTCGCTCACCTGTATTTACTGATGCTTTGGAAATCATGTAAAATAAGGTTAAAATCATAATCAATAGTATTAGATATTAGATATCATAATGATATCTAAGATAATAACAAAAAACTGTAAAATTTCTGTAAAAATTACTCAGGGGCAGCAACCCAACAACGGGTTGTTGGATTCGTCTGAAAATTTCAGGGCAGATAAATCTAAATTTGATGAACATTTTTGCCACCTGTCAGATTTGCTCGAAATGCTTTAGTTTCAGAGATATAAACCAAAAACTGCATTTTACCCCTATGTTCTATTTTTAACCAAGTCGGCCATGATGGTTTGAAGGTGGGGTCAACGGACAAATTTTTTAAACTAGATACCCTAATAATGATTATGGCCAAGTATGGTTAAATTTGTCTCAGTAGTTTCAGAGAAGAAGATTTTTGTAAAAGATTACAAAAATTTATGAAAAATTGTTAAAAATTGACTATAAAGGGCAATAACTCCTAAAGGGGTCGACTGACAATTTTGGTCATGAGGACTTATTTGTAGATCTTACTTTGCTGAACATTATTGCTGTTTACAGTTTATCTCTATCTATAATAATATTCAAGATAATAACCAAAAACTGCAAAATTTCCTTAAAATTACCAATTCAGGGGCAGCAACCCAACAACAGGTTGTCAGATTTGTCTGAAAATTGCAGGGCAGATAGATCTTGACCTGATAATCAGTTTTACCTTGTGTCAGATTTACTCTAAATGCTTTGGTTTCAGAGATATAAGCCAAAATCTACATTTCACCCCTATGTTCTATTTTTAGCCATGGCTGCCATCTTGGTTGGTTGGCGGAAGTCATCGGACACATTTTTTAAACTAGATATCCTAATGATGATTGTGGCCATGTTTGATTAAATTTGGCCCAGTGGTTTCAGAGGAGAAGATTTTTGTAAAAAGCTAGCGACAACGATGACGACGACGATGAAGGATGCCAAGTGATGATAAAAGCTCACTTGGCCCTTTGGGCCAGGTGAGCTAAAAAGGATATCACAGCTAACTGGCTATTTCTAGAGGAGGAAGTATTCGTTGAAACAAACCTGTTCAGCTGATGTAAACCTTTGCATAAATTTGATTTTAGAAAAATAATTACATAATGACTTCCTGTTAGAAAACAAAGCAATAAATTATTGACCAACAAAATAATGTTTAGAACTGGTTATCTATAAAATGTCATTTAAGGACAGAATTTTTCATATTCAAGTCAAACCTTTTTAATCCAGTGGTCCTTATATTACATCCAGTGTTCCTTATATTACAGTAGGTGCTTATTTATTTCAATTTCATGACACAGACATTAAATAACTGGATTTGGATGGTAAGCATTATTTTTATCTAACTGCACTCACTTAATATTTTAAAACAACCTTTCACATGTTTCACTGAAGCAATAAGCAAAGTTGTTGTACCAGTTAATCTCATTTTTCTTTTCCTTATTTGTTTTTAACTCAAACATTGTCAAAAAGGAGTTCCACAGCTATGAAATCATGTTTTTAATCTGGACAAATGCAAAAGTTCTACATTCATCTTAAGAGAATGCAATAATGGTAATGATCTTATCTAACAAAAATAGATCTAAGACTCAAATGGCCAGATTGTGCGGATTTTTTGTTTAACAATTGAGAATGGTCTATACTAAACATTTAAATATATGAAAATAGAAAAAAGAATTAAACAACTCCATAATGGCAGGTCCATCACCTCAATAGGTTTGATAACTCTCTGTAAAGAATTGGATTAAATGTAAAAATTGCTATCTTCTTTTGAAAATTTTGCTTAAAAAACATGCACAAATTAGGTACCCTCTTTCATAAATTTTACTGAAAAAAGACAGTTCCCAATTCTGGACAAATGAGAAAACGTTCTTCAAACAATTTCATGATAGCAGATGCACAACTTCAACATACATGACATATGTCCAGTCTTCATGTGAAGTTTTAGGGATCTGGGTTGAAAACTGTAGGAGTTGATTACAAAAACTTATACTCTCTTTTCATAAATTTTGATGAAAAAAGACTAAGTTCCCATGTCCTGAAAAATGAGAAAAAATTCCTCAAACAATTCCATGATAGCAGGTGCACAACTTCAACATATGTGCAATCTTCCTGTCAAGTTTCTGGGATATGGGTTGTAAACTGTTGGAGGAGTTGATTACACAAATCAGTTACCCACTTTTCCCCCACCCATGCATGTGATTGTGGGAGATTTAGTCTGAAATATCTCAAAATGTATTCTATTGATACATTTGTAATACATGACATACAGGGAACCAGAGTGTTATCACCTTCCTGTTTCACAATGAATCACTCAAACCAGCAACAGTAATTTTGTGTTAAATAACTTTGTGTGTAAGGTACACACAAATTTAGATGCTACATGTACACTTTGAAATTTCTTAGGTTTGGAAATATATCACATTACATTGACCTGATCTAATGATTTTATGCATGAAATCTGTCATGCTGATCTGCTTATGGTATGGAATTTTAGTGGAATTCAACATTGTTCTTCACATTAAGACACTAATACATGTACTGGTACATGTACAGTACATGTACATGCAACGTAAGATAATGCTTGTTTGTCTTTCTTAAAGTTTCAAACATACAAATGTATGGATTTTGACCTACAAACACATTTGGGGTATGGATGCTTTAGGATTTTTAATATCTACACCATCCTACCAAATATCATGGAGCCATGATGGAGAAAAACTAACTAGAGGCTCTCAAGAGCCTGTGTCGCTCACCTGATTCTACTTTGGTTTTGGAAATCATGTAAAAATAGATTATTTGATTTCATTCCATTCAGTGGTTCATATAAGAAATTTTTTTTATGTAATTCCTATAACTAAGTTTCCCATTAGTGGCCATCTTGGATGACAAATCAGTAACAAAGTTACAAAACTTAGTAAGTACCGGGTAAGCACCTCATAAGGAACATTAATACCATGTTTGGTTTTAATTCATTCAAAGGTTCTTTAGAAGAAGACATTGGTTACATATTTTCACATAGTGTTTTATGTTAAACTAAGGTCCTCCTGGTGGCCATCTTGAAAAGTAAATCGGCAACAAAGTAGCAACATTTCATCAGCACCTCACAAGGAACATTCATGCCATGTTTGGTTTCATTCCATTACATGGTTCTCTAAAAGAAGACATTTGTATGTATTTTCCATAGGGTCCTATGTTAAACTAAGTCCCTCTCTGGCGGCCATCTTGGATGATGGATCGGCTTCAAAGTCACAACAATTGGTCAGCACCTCATAAGGAACATTCATGTCATGTTTGGTTTCATTCCATTCAGTGGTTCTCTAAGGGAAGACATTTGTATGTATTGTCCATAGGGCCCTATGATAAACGAAGTCCCCCGCTGGTGGCCATCTTGGATGATGGATCAGCTACAAAGTAACAACACTTGGTCAGTACCTCATAAGGAATATTCATGCAATGTTTGGTTTCATTCCATTCAGTGGTTCTCTAGAAGAAGTTCAAAATCTACGACGATGGACAACGGACGCAAAGTGATGAGGACTATTTGCCAAGATATTTTTTGAGTTAAGGAAAGGTTGAAATTTATTTTAAGATTATTATCAAAATGAGCTTTTAATGTATACATTTTCAGTTAGACAAATTTGGCAGATTTTGGCTTGAACAAATCTTTACAAGTATATTTTTGTAATACTTACAAACAAATTTCTTCTTCTGCATCTTCAAATTCCTAAATAGAAAATAACAGTTTTATCTATGTTGATAGGATTTCTTTAACTAAATATTACTATGGGTACATATATTGGATACCAAAAAAACGATATTGCATTTGACAATACAATGAAATGATAATTAATGGCTTTACAATGGACACTTTTGTACCTGTAAAAATTGCATAAGAGAGAGTTGAAAGATACCAAAGGGACGTACATTCAAGGTCATAAGTTGAAAACAAACTGGCAACACCAAGGCAGAAATTGAAAAACGACAAAAAGGCAAACAACACGCCTTTAATCTTCATATAGAAAGCTTCTCTACCAGAATCATTAAAATGCAAAATATATGCTCATGTAATTTTGGAGATAATTATAGCAGTAAAAAATCCATTAAATTGCTTCACCGAGCACAGCTGGATACGACCGCAGAGGTCCAACCCTGAACAGTTGGGGCAAAAATGGACACAATATTCGTACTTGATACAGGTCTAAATTTGGATTGTAATTAAATATTTGACACATAATAGGTTTCTGACACAGAATAACTGTAGTCAAAGAACTTAGAATTGGTTATATGATTTGAATTTATATTCAATTTTTTGCTTTTGTGCAATACACTATGCTGTTGCGAATTGACCCCCTCCCCCCCCAAAAAAAATTTTTTTTTTACCCCCCCCCCCCTTTTTTTTGGCTTTTGTGCAATACACTATGCTGTTGCGAATTGACACCCCCCCCCCCCCCAAAAAAAATGTGTACCCCCCTCCCCCTTTTTTTGCAAAAATAAAATATTTGAAGAAATTTTCTTTTTAATTTCTGAAATCTGAAATGAGAAAAAAATGTCCCCCCCTCCCCACAATTTTTTTTCACCCCCCTCCCTTTTAAAAAAAAAAAAATACTCCCCTCAAGATATGGTCATAATCTCAATTCAAATTTCCAATGGAGTTTGCAACCATTACCCATTTAAATACATCATAAAAGTCTTAAAATAGAAAATGACATACATAATCATGGCTAAAATTAATATTCCTTAATCAGCATTTTTAATAGTAACTTCTAAAAATAAATTGACAGCTAATCACCTCAAGACAATACAACATTTCTTTATACATAATTTAAAAGCAGTGTAAGGGAGGTAATCCATACATAACATTGTACTTTTAAGTAATTGTCCATTAACCAGGAAACCCTTGTTTTTCCCCTTTTTTTGCCCCTAATTCCTAAACAGTTTGAGCCATAACCCCCCAAAGCCAATCCTAACCATCCCTTTCTTGTATGGAAACTTGTGGTCTAATTTCAGAGAGATCCATACACATTCCCACAAGTTATTGTCTGGAAACTAGAAAAATGCTTATTTGGGCCCCTTTTTGGCACCTAATTCCTAAACTTTTAGGACCATTTATAACCCCCAAAATCATCCCCAACCTTCCTTTTGTGGTTATAAACCTTGTGTTTAAATTTCATGGATTTCTATTTACATATACTAAAGTTATTGTCCGGAAACCAAATGTCTTCAAACAACGCTGACGACGACATGATACCAATATACGACCGCAAAAACAACGACGACGTGATACCAATATACAACCGCAAAAATATTTGCGGTCCTATATTGGTATCACGTCGTCGTCAGCGTTGTCCCAAGACATTTGGTTTCCGGACAATAACTTTAGTCTTATAATAAAATGCTCCGCTGGGGCGCAGCTTGATACAACTGCAGGGGTCGAACCCTGAACAGTTGGGGCAAGTATGGACACAACATTCAAGCTTGATACAGCACTGAATTTGGATTGTAATTAAATATTTGACACAGCATAGGTTTCTGACACAGAATGAAAGTGGTCTAAGAACTTAAAAAATTTTTATTTACCTATTCAGACCATATCATTATTATTTGCTTTTATATATAAATCAGAAATAACCAATTTAAAATGGAAAATTTTAAAGAAAAAAAAAAGGAAAAAAAAAAAACCCCAAAAATTTTTTGAACCCCCTTATGATTCATCACCCCCAAAATCAATCCCGGCCTTCCTTTTGTGGTATGGTACCTTGCAGTACAATTTCAGAGAGATCCATACACTTGAACACAAGTTATTGTCTGGAAACTAGAAAAATGCTTGTTTTTTGGCCCCTTTTTGGCCCCAAATTCCTAAACGTTTAAGGCAATTACCCCCAAACTCAAACCCAGCTTTCCCTTTGTGATATGGAACCTTGCAGTACAATTTCATAAAGATCCATACACTTAGAAACAAGTTATTGTCCTGAAACTAGAAAAATGCTTGTTTTTTTTCCCTTTTATGGCCCCTAATTACTAAAATTTTAAGGGAATTACCTCCAAAATCAATCCCAGCCTTCCCTTTGTGGTATGGTACCTTGCAGTACAATTTCAGAGAGATCCATACACTTAAACACAAGTTATTGTCTGGAAACTAGAAAAATGCTTATTTTTGGCCCCTTATTCCTAAACTTTTTGGGCAATTACGGTAATTGAATTACCCCTAAACTCAATTCCAGCTTTTCCTTTGTGATATGGAACCTTGTAGTACAATTTCATAAAGATCCATACACTTACACACAAGTTATTGTCATGAAACTAGAAAAATGCTTGTTTTTTGCCCCTTTTTGGCCCCTAATTCCTAAAATTTGGAGGCAATTACCCCCAAAATCAATCCCAGCCTTCCCTTTGTGATATGGAACCTTGTGATACAATGTCAGAGAGATCCATAGACTTACACACAAGTTATTGTCATGAAACTAGAAAAATGCTTTTTTTTGCCCCTTTTTGGCCCTTAATTCCTAAAATTTGGAGGCAATTACCCCCAAAATCAATCCCAGCATTCCCTTTGTGATATGGAACCTTGTGGTACAATGTCAGAGAGATCCATACACTTACACACAAGTTATGTCTGGAAGTTACAAAAATGCTTATTTTTGGCCCCTAATTCCTTAACTGTTGGTACCATAACCCCCAAAATCAATCCCAACCTTCCTTTTGTGGTATTGCACCTTATGGTAAAATTTCATTGAGATCCATTCACTTAAACTAAAGTTAGAGTGCGAAAACTAATTTGTCTTCGGACGAAGACGACTACGACAACGTCATACCAATTTACGACCACAAAATTTTTTTTGCAGTCGTATAAAAAGTTAGAAAAAATTTGTAAAAATCATGAACTCTGTCATATCCTTGTAACTCAGATATAAATTCTCAGTGTACAGTATGAAAAAAAATACATTGGAACAAAATAAATCTACCATTCCCCTCTATCATTTCAAGAAGACACCTTTACTAAATAATCTGTAAAGTATGTCAGTTTGTTACATGTATATAACTGAATTTTTAAGATTGCTGTCGGTAGTAAATACTTGAAGCTTTTTCCATGTACCATTATTCAATTTAGTTGTTTTGCAAATAGTAAATCCTTACAATTTTTAAATATATATGTACCAAACATTTTTTTTTTATTCATTCACCACTGAACATGATAAATTAAGAAAACATTTAGAAACTAAGGTTCCAACTACCTCAGTCTGTGCTGACTGAGTGAATTTGGTTATTTTTTTATAGGTCTCTTTTTACATGTTTATGTCTTATACATCCTCAACTTTTAAATGTTTTGATTTGAGGGTTTCTGATAAAGGAAAATCCAGAAAAGCCCTTTGGATGCATGAAATTAATACAGTGCTATTTTCATTTCAAAGCCAGACCATTCTTATACATGTAATTGATAATGTTTACAGTTATCCAGATAGTTGACAGTTGATGCATGAGGGTAAATGTGGTAAACAGAAAACTGAATACAGGCAAAAAATAATAATTAGCTAAAATGAGAAAAAATATATTAAGAATACAGAGAGAATAAAATGCTCTGCTGGGGCGCAGCTTGATACGACCGCAGAGGTCAAACCCTGAGCAGTTGGGGCAAGTATGGACACAACTTTTAAGCTTGATACAGCACTGAATTTGGATTGTAATTAAATATTTGACACAGCATAGGTTTCTGACACAGAATGAAAGTGGTCTAAGAACTTAAAAAAATTTAATTTACCTATTCAAACCATATCATTATTATTTGCTTTTATATATAAATCAGAAATAACCAATTTAAAATGGAAAATTTTAAAGAAAAAAATGGAAAAAAAAATCCCCCCCCCCCAAATTTTTTGAACCTCCTTATGATTCATCACCCCCAAACTCAATACCAGCCTTCCCTTTGTGGTATGGTACCTTGCAGTACAATTTCAGAGAGATCCATACACTTGAACACAAGTTAGTGTCTAAAAAATGCTTGTTTTTTGGCCCCTTTTTGGCCCCAAATTCCTAAACGTTTAGGGCAATTACCCCCAAACTCAAACCCAGCTTTCCCTTTGTGATATGGAACCTTGCAGTACAATTTCATAAAGATCCATACACTTAAACACAAGTTATTGTCCTGAAACTAGAAAAATGCTTGTTTTTTTGCCCTTTTATGGCCCCTAATTACTAAAAATTTGAGGGAATTACCCCCAAAATCAATCCCAGCCTTCCCTTTGTGGTATGGAACCTTGCAGTACAATATCAGAGAGATCCAAACACTTGAACACAAGTTATTGTCTGGAAACTAGATAAATGCTTTTTTTTGCCCCTTTTTGGCCCTTAATTCCTAAAATTTGGAGGCAATTACCCCCAAAATCAATCCCAGCATTCCCTTTGTGATATGGAACCTTGTGGTACAATGTCAGAGAGATCCATACACTTACACACAAGTTATGTCTGGAAGTTACAAAAATGCTTATTTTTGGCCCCTAATTCCTTAACTGTTGGTACCATAACCCCCAAAATCAATCCCAACCTTCCTTTTGTGGTATTGAACCTTATGGTAAAATTTCATTGAGATCCATTCACTTAAACTAAAGTTAGAGTGCGAAAACTAATGTGTCTTCGGACGAAGACGACAACAACGACGCCAACGTCATACCAATTTACGACCACAATAATTTTTTTGTGGTCGTATAAAAAGTTAGAAAAAATTTGTAA